GGCCTAAGGACCCGATAGAACCAATTAAGTAAAATAATATAATCTATCAAATTCCATGTAATGACTTTGAGGTCAAGTATATAAGTCAAACTAGTCGGTCGGGGTCAGTTACAATAGCCGAACATAGCAATTTAGCTAAATATAGAATAACAGACCTAAATAAGATTAATAATCTAGAAAAGAAACTCGGCTATTGCTATGCATGCATTAACACACAACAACACAATAGGGTGGGATAAAACTACTGTACTTAAGTCCAATATAATTAGGCAGAGAGGACCTTCATTATTGTGAATGTCTTAAAATAAGGAGGTGATGAATTAAGTTCCTTGGATATCCGTATCACTACAGGGTTCGAACCAGTGGTCTTCAGCTTACTAGTCAAGATTGTAGCTTCTGTAGCTCTTAGGAGCAAGTTTAAAATTTCTGAGGTGCATTCTTCTTCCTGTCCCACCAGTGTAACTGACTCAAAAAACACGCGAAATAGTAAACATCATCAGTGGTAACATAATGAAGCACCCGTTTATTTTTGATTGAATTGGTGAGTAATAAACTATAAATAAATCAAATACGATACATGACGTTTAGTAGCTTTTATTTAAGTTCCAAATCAAGCAAAAGTGGCTTTATAAATGGACGGACGTGTAATGTGATGAAATGGCGACTACAGTCTATCCAGATGTGTGGTGACTAAGGGCAGTACACTTCTGTTGCAAAACAACAGCATAACTTAGAGCTTCCGAGTAATTATTCAGAAAAGAAAGCGTTTTAACGAATGATTGTTTTCATAAACATTCTCCTCAAAATTCATAGTTTCAAATCTACAGCATACCGTTTTACGATACCTGGTTTATGCATATGCAGGATAGATGAATTTGAATTTAAGTTCATGACTATCTTGACTTAGTAGCCACGTGAGTAGCGAACGCGTTTGAAGAGTTGTTTAGTGACTAGACTTTTATGCAACATATTTCCTATAAGTACCAACCAACTATGCAATAATACATCGCTTGCATCCTAATTATTTGTAACTCAGGATATGAATGACATGATAAGGGAGATCTCGAATTCAATCGGTAAATAGAAACTCTAGTTATTAGAAGCATGTTGATTTTGAGACCTAGATTTGTGAAGAGTCGAATCAGCCATTTGTTCTGAGGTTTCTTCCACGGTCTCAGTTATGAATGGTTCTGCAGGGAAGCACGATTATAGATGACTTCTCCCAGTACCTGTTGCTTCACTGAGCCACGAAAAACCAAAAGACAAAGACGACCTTTCGCTGCAAGAACAACTATGACTCTATTAGACAAAAACACGATATATATGTATTTACAAAACTCTCAGAAAATGAGGCCACAAACAAAGCAATCCGATTTGTTGTATGACATCGAATTTCTCCAATCAGTGCATGCACAAATCATGATCTGAAAACAACTTTTCTATTGACTGCCTTTTGTCGTTACGTACTATAAGGACTTTGGTACCGCTCTCTTTGGTTATTCATCGTAGACTGATATCAGTTGGAGAAACACTGGAACACTAATTTCGGTCCAAGATGGATACCAACCTGAAAGCAATAAAATTCCCACAAGCCTCAGAATTGTATTGCTCTCCTTAATCATATAAGTGAGACGCAGCTACATTCATCTCTTATCCACTGCTCACTATGTGCAGTTACCAGTATTACTAATCGGTAACAGCAGTTGTGCTTGAGTTTGTTTTTCCGAAACATTTATAAAATAATAGCATCGCCCACACAGATAAACAAAATCAACGTAGAAACTTGCACACAAGTGCATCGGTTCAAGTTGCTACATTTCATAGTAGCATGTAAAGAACAAATGGATAGGAATTTTTGATATTCAACTATACAAAGGTGGATGGGAAGAGAGGGAATTTAATAATTAAGGTTAGTCAAAACATCCAAGCTTTAGAATGAATCGAAGAGTGAATACATGTGCGCCACTGTGACCGATCTTCAGCCAAGTCATCGAGACCCCCAACCATTGATTCCTGTCATCTCAGGGACCCTAGTCAGGCAGTCTACCGAGACCAGATTAACAATCAAAGGCATCATGGACTGGTGCCGTCTTAATCTGGCCACCCTGAGCCTTCTTCCAACCTAATCTAACTCCTGCTAGTATTACACTTTGAGGAAGGCGTTGGCTCAGGCATGCGCAGCACATATTGAAATCATCTCATATCACCTGCTTCCTAGTTAACCTAAAATATTTATCTTCAAGTTAATGGAATATAAACCGAATGTTGAATGATACCTTTCTTAATAAAGATAAGAAATATTACTACTTACTTTGTCTCTCCACTTCAATACGACTGTCATGCAATCGTATCACGACAGAAAGAATAAACGCTGAAGGGTTAAAGTGAAAGTTATTGTCTTCTTAATCTTATGCCAAGTGTTATTTAGTTGATAACATGAATATAAGTATCATCGTTGTTATATTCGTTTTGAAAGAAGTAACAATGAAAAAGGTATCCATCTTTCTCTTCACCGAAGAAACCAACTGTTGAACTGAATCAATAACACTAGATGTTTGACTACTAAACATTCAAATAATCTACTGTTTCTGAGGTAAACAGTTACTGTTTTCTGTGAGTGACACTGATTAAACTCATGAGAAAGCTTCAATTTTTAAGAAAAACCTAATGATGAAAATTTTCGAAGTTAAGCTATTCGAGATATCAAGTGAGAATCAAAATTAACAGAAAAAATAGATCGCCACGACCACCAGGCAATGCGAAATATGCTTATTGTTCGGTGATGATTCACTTATATACCGTTTTTCCATTTCCTCTAATTTTACTGTTACATAGGTAGTAAAAAAGATGAAGGTAGACATCAGTTAAAAATGAGCAACACATTTCTGTACTTTAGATCAACGTGCAAAGTTAGCTAGAGTAATAATAGTTTGAGAAAAAGTGAGAGGTGGCCAAACTAAGAATTAGTACCAATGCCTAAAATCTTCAACTTTTGGTCTGAACCAACTGGCTTGAGTTCTTGTGATGCTACGTAAAATGATTCGAAACCATCTAGTAACACAAATACATTTATTTCACAACACGTCTTCTACTGTGCAGTTTAGCAACTTGATATGAAGTATTTCCCAGATCAAAAATCTCACCCTTGTTCACGTACGTCTCTCAATCAAGCTATCCTCAAAACCGTGACTCCATGATAAGATGGCAGTGGTGTGAATAAATCACAGATCAAACACCAACAGCTCCCCTGTATCTAAGACACTAATTTATAGACACACAGCTCAATAAAGTAGCAGGCTAAATTCCCAGATCGATAATCTTTGACGAGTTGACTGTGCTACAAAAAAGAGTAAGCTGCCTATTGTTTTGCAATTTTAACGAATAATAGTGAAATATTAATTGATTTATTTAATCCAAAAAACGAAAAAAAGGGACAACACTTATGCATCGATACATCATCTGTATATGTAAATACATAAATATACTTTTATAGTCTCATATTATATCGTGAAGCACTGATCAGTAAGTAGAGTAGAATAGAAATTGTGGACAACATGAAACTTCCTATTGAGAAAAACAGAAAAGAAAAGAGGAATGTGCTCCATCGCAAAGTGGCGATGTGAGACCAATCCCTCTCTAGCAATGGTTATCAGTAATACGGATACAACTTTTAAAAAAATACAGAAACGTGTCTAAGAGAATCACATAGTGTGAAGAAGGTAAAAAAAAAAGTATCCTCACCACCATGCTTATGATCACCAGGTAATTAAACTCTCCACAAGAAGGAGTAGCTTTCTCTTCATTTAAAAGGTAAACCAATAAATTTTGGAATTAACACTATCAGTGAGAATGAAAATAGTAATCGTAACATCAAATACAGATTAGAACAGATCAATTATTCACCTTTCAAGATAGTCACGTAGAATTAGACGAGATAGAAAACAAAAGATACAGTCAACGACATGATTATGATTTAGCAAACATATATTGGTATTAGTTGGTTAGACAGTGAACTAACAGGATAATCATATTCACCTTTACACGTAGATACATTTCCATCGATAGAATGATACGAGAGATAAATTCAATTTCAAAAAAAGGGTCTGATGGGTAAAATCATAGACGCATGTATACATGTGGCAAACAAATGAGAATTAGATGAGATACTTGGTTAAATATGAGGAATCAATAAACATTCAACTAACAAAATTTAAAAACTATTATAGAAGAGAAACAAAAAAGACCTACAGGTGTCATCAACAATGATTAGTATTGATAATAACAACAAAGCAGTGAGTACGAAACTGAAGATATTATTGTATATCTGTGTGTAGTAAGAAGAGCTCCATCATTTGCGCTACTGAAATGCCAAAGGGTAAAATAAACAATGAACTAATGAAGCAAACGATGAGTGATCAAAGGAATATAAGACAGTTTTGTATAATGAATGGTCTGGTAAAACAACAGTTTTATAGAGACAAAGTGAACAACCTGAAATCACAACATGCCTAGACAAGCGTTTGTACGCACATGTAACATAGATTCTATATACTGCTCGCCAAATAATCGAATTCTAGGAGAATACTTCTGAAATGCCAAATTAACAGATACACAAGACACTAGAGACACGATTATGTTGAAGACAGACGACAGATAGACCTATTGCTGGTGCGTAGTAATTCAATACAAAAAAGATAATGCAACTGAAAAAAGAACACTTTGGATGACGATAATGATTATTATAATAAATGACGCAGAAGGAGTTAAGGTCTGCTGAAGAGCTGGAATACACAGAAGTGAACGTCACTATAAACATATAGTGGTATTTCTATCTTATCTTACATGTATAATAGAGTGGAACAATAATAATAATAATAATAATAATAATAATAATAATAATAAAAGTAATAACTCTCAATAGCGGAAATCAAAGAAAGTTAAATAATAATAGTAATAGTAATAGTAATAGTAATAATAATAGTAATTGTAAGAAGAGCCAGTCAATTAGATAGCACAAACTGGTGCGTTTTCTCGGCAAGATCAATTAAAGAAGCATAGAGTTGTGGAGCTGAAGAAATAGGATAATAATCTGTTGTCTTATGCTCATGACTAATGACTGTTGATGTGGGATTATTGACTGAACAAAAAGAATTGGAAACATTATTATTACTACTATTATTGTGATTACTATTGATTGAATGACTTCTAGGATGCTTGGGATTGAACACTTCCAAAAAGTAACTTGCTAGTTGAGCAAGTTCACGACTAAGTGATTTACAACTGGCATTACGTGCTTCTGCTTCATACAACTGTTCCAGTTGCCTGATCTCACTTGGTGAGAGCGGAGACTGAAAATGGCATAGAAAAAGTGGGAAAATGAGTATATAAATATATATGTTCGACAATAACTTTGTCAAATTGGATTAATGTATTGTGGTAGTGTCAGTTATAACAATAAATATTCAGGTAATATCCAGGCACTCACATACGAGCTCATATGCCAACAGAGGTCGATAATTTCCATCCAGTATAACAACGGAAAATTGCCAGTATCAACAAATAATAATCAATAATACACAATGTACAAGAGTTGGCTATCGTGCCACAGCGGCCTAGTGGATAACCCTTCGGCGTTAGAAGTAATGGGTACGAAGTTCGAGTCTCAGTGAGAGCATGCACTGGAGTGCAGGTATATATATACAGCTGACGAGTACCAAGTAGGAGGAAATGCGCGGACTGGATTCCACTGCTAATCACGACCAAGTCGGTTTTTTTTATGGTAGTGTCTACTTCTTGTCTGTTGTTGAAAAAGCAACGGACAGTAGGAAATTATTTTTTGGTATGAACTGTTTGTTGACTAACGAGTACATATTTCAGTATGAAGCCTCTTTTATACAATAATTGTAACTGCACATAAACACAAAGGACTTAACTAGGCTACGAAGAAAATGAATGCTTGGAAGAGGCAGGCCAAACGTCCTACTAGCACTTGACGTGTACAGTTGGAAACTTTATCACTCAGCCCATATTAAAGCATTCATTAATGATTTATTTGAGTTACAAACGATCTACTAATCACGCACTGATAAGTAACAAATTATTACATCTGGCCCTACATGTCGATTGATTACACAACTGAGAGCTGATTTACAGGCGTTTGCTATTCAAATACATTTCAAAAACATGGTGGATAGAGTTAACTTAACCGCATCAAAAAACTGTAATGACACAATCAAAAATGAAAACAATACAACTGAATCTGGATATCCTTAAACTGCCTTGGGTTCGACTAATGGCGTTGTTGAACACTTGAAGTCGCTTCAGTGTTTAAAGAAGAAATTTTTTCACTTTACGATTTCTGCATAAGATGAGTTTTCGAATATTAACTCTAAGCAAGTTTAGTTTACAACTAATGAGCATTGCTCCGTAGAGGCATATAAAATTAAAAATGTACAATGAAGAAACGAAACAGAGATGTAGATTTTTCACACTCAAAGGTAAACTTCGCAACTGTTTAAAGTCAGTGATGGCACTCAAACTGTAAAATTCAGAATGGAGGCGCAAAGGATACAACTTCTAACTTCGAATAAATTTAGCTTTATAATCATGTGATAACAGGGATAAATATGGATGATGTAAAATAATCTGATGTTCAGTTAGCTATAGCATTACACTTTTATGTGAATCCGACGATTATTTGCAATCGTATGTGATTGGTCAACTGTTTAGTCCTTCGCGTTCTACAGCCCCTCAAAGGCATACATTGATTACTCCCCTGACAGCTCGGTGAAAACTAGAAGAAATTACTGAAAAGATAACACACTCTAGGCGAAACCTAATATACACAGATGACTGTACCAGTAGTAATTTTCATTTCTCCACCATCATGTCTAAACAAATACGATAGAACAGAAATGAAACAATTCAGTAAAAAAACATACCGTAATAGGCACACGAAATTCCTCTGTCAGCCTTTTTCTCAAATTCATAAACTGTTCTGATGACAATATACCATCAGGTTGAGTCTTCGGTGGTAAGTTAACTAAAGCTAACAAAGTTTTAGCGACTGCGACTAAGGCCTAGTTAGATTAAATAAAATCATGAAACAGTAAAACAATAGAATAACAATTTCGAAAAAAAGGTGGAAAATAATATCGTCAGAATAGATGCATGGAAAGTAATTACTACACGGATTTAGAGTGTGAATAAAACAGACTAAACTGTTGTAAATAAAATATAAACTTTCCATTAGACTAGCAGTTTACAGGAGAGTCGTCTTTATGGTGATTTTTAGTTTGGAATGAGAATATTTCCCTCTTTAAAGCAAAAAGTTTGATAATAACGCACATTTGAACTGCAAAAATTGTATCAATGCAGTTGAAAAAAACAATAATTTTTTGCACACTTTATAAGTTATATACATATAATTTACTACAGACTTGACGTCTTCATCGACAAGCAATGTTAAGTGAAGTAGAATAAAGATGAAAAGAATCGAAGTGTGACTATATCAGAACAAAGTATCAGTTCATACAGCAACTGTTGGTCTGAATTATATACTGAGGTATAGTTTGTCTGGGTAGGGGTCTATGAAACAATAAGAATCCATATTTAGAGGCTTACGGTGACACATCTCAAAATCGAACACAACCGCAAAGATGTTATCTGAATCTTCAATAACTTCAGTTATACATTCTCTTTCTTCATACACTTTTGTCCACTATAGTTTCTTTCTTTGTCTAATCACATCCTTCTTAGTTTCTATAATGACCTATAATAAATACAACTTTTGCACTTCTATCCCTTGCTCCAATACACTAGGCAACTCATTATTTGTATAACTGCAGAAAGCAAAAAGGCGCAAACCAACAATTGTAGTGTGGCACGACAAAAAGCACACTTATTATATGAGGCCTAACGATACTGACAAGATAACGTACCCCGAATATCGAATCAGGATTTGAACCTAGTGACACATTCCGTAAAAGTGAGCTATGTAGACCAATGTGCTAAACCTTCACTAGGCATAATTTTAAACAATTATTTCATTTCATCGAATACAGTGTATTCGCTTTCATATGACCGAACTATGATGTCGTTTAAACTTCGCCACATTACTCACTCAAATCAGTTCATTTCGAAAAAAATTACAGTAAAAAAGCGATTGATTTATTAGTTTTTGGGTTCTCTAAGTCAGCAGACTTCAGTAGAATACAGTGAAGATGATCAGTTAGACTTAAGAACGACACTAATGTGGAATATGAACTAGAAATAATAAATTTGCGTTAAAAAAGAGTAACGAAAAAGTTCACAGCATTAAAGCATAAAACAGAGCAGCCAAACAGTCAAAACTTTTAAACACTATAAATATTGGCAAAGATGAAATACACTTCAATGAAACGGAAACCAAAAACAACCGACTCAGGTTAGTGATTAACCACTAGTATCTCAGACAGTCTCATTAATAATCACTATGATTTCATCCTTATGTAATCCAGACCAATTTATATTGGTATGGAGAAATCTGGCTGTGTAACTTAATTTGGTTACGACGAATAGACAGTTATGTATCACGCATTCACATGATGAACGGGCAAAAGCCTAAGTGGTTGAAATGAAGTTAGGATTTGATTAGCATCTGGATGTCATAGATTATTTAGTAGAGCATTGGGTGAGTAATTCGGAGACCACTGCTTCGAATCATGTTAACATCCAGCGTTTCATCTCATCTTCAAATCCACGCCTCGTGTGAATAATACCTCTCTTTTACTGAACCACAGCTATTTCAAATAATATCATTATATATTGAGTAGTAATGATTAGAGAAACATTCAACAAAATAAATATACTGAAGGTAACTGTAATCCATCAGATTCGGTTTTTCTCTTTGCCTTAGAAAAATACCTAGGTACATTAACTTGACCGGTTTTACTCTTTGATACTTCATGACAAAGTACTACATTGTTAGCCGGTAGAAATATGAATTAGCCAGCGGCATTGAATGATGATCATACTAAATAATGAAGTGATGTACGTAGGGTAGTTTGACGACTGGATTCCAGCCTGTTCTCTAAATGGTGAAATGCTTACGACAAGACCTAAAGATCCTGAGCTGTATGGTTTACAGACTTGTGAATAACCATTACTGAAGAGTCGGAGAGAAAGATGAAACATCTTTCCAGTGTTCTTTGGTTTTCAGTGGTTTTCTGGTGAACTGATTCAAAACTACTTCATTCTAACATATACCCATGATCTACAGTTCAGATACTAGCTACACAAAAACTTAATATTTAATACTAAAATTGAATCCAGTAACTGTAAATCATGTGCATTTAAATAATGATGGTCAAACACTCTTAAACAATTCTCTGAGAAAGCTCTTAGTAATAGCTTAGAGAAAGTGTCTTAGCCCATCAAAATTATCATGATTGAAATAAGAAAATAGAGTTAGTGAAATGAAATACCAGATGGATAGTTTGATCACTTATTATCTTTTAGGATGTGATATGTCACCCACCAAGAAAGAAAATTTTTTCAGCTGTTCCTACTCTTATTCACGTAATTGCAGACGTGATAATTCCACGAATATCAATATCAAATCTAATAAACACCTACCTCAGATGCATGGGATGGAACAGTCGGTGAATTCACACCAGAATGTAACTGAGGAAATGATGACCATGAAGAACAAGAAGAACCACCAGTGACTGGATTTGTATACGATGAGTAGAAAGAATCATTAGAAACTGCAGGAGTCCACAGACCCGACAAAAGACCATGAGTGGATCCACTTAACGAATCTGAACGACCGGTTTTACCCCAACTCGATAAAACTGGACACAGACCACGAAGGAAAACCAGATTACATACAACAACATGGCTGTGACTGGGTGAATAAAGGGCCTATGGATAGAAATACATGTGAACACAATGAAGTTCATGCTATCTAAATAAACATTTTGTGAAATAAGAAAACTGTCTGTATTCTGAATCAAAGGGAAGAAATTTATGTCTGATTTATTGACGAAGCAAAAGTAAAAAAATATGGTAAGCATGATGGAGAGCATGTAATGATAAATTAGAAAGTCCCTAAAACAACTATACATATAGTTCTCTAAAAAATAATTAATCACTCTTATTGTATACCAGGTTAGTCCAAAGTTAGATGGGTTGAGCAATGCTCGAGTCCACAGTTCTCAAGTTGTGCCAGTATTTTCATTGCTTAGGTTAAATCTATTATGCTGGAGGTTAACGACTGTTACATCGGGACGTGCGTATTTTAAATTCCCCGCTGTGTGAATGAAGCCAGCAAAAGCAGGCTGAAAATTGAATCAATACTCAAAGAAGAGAAATTAAGGTATAAAAAACAAATCAAAGTTAAATCTTTCGCACAAATGCATTTAAGTTGTAAAATTCCACATTGCCCCATTGTAATCGATTCTGAAAGATGGTACCAAGTGTCTAATTACGGATTCCTAGCATTTCATAGATCACATTAATACAATATACACTTTCCTATACTACCCAGATCAGTATATATAGAGACACCACGAATACAGACATGTTCATCCAGCCACCACCCATAGAATTCTATTAGCCTAATCCTACTTCACTTCGATGTATGCAGTTGGGCGATACGCATATCACATGTCCAAGCTCGCTTAGAGAATATAATGTGTACATTATATAATGAAGTAAACAGATTCCCAATCCTTTCTCAACATGTTTGTTATTAACCTTATCCTAAATACTACGGTTAACATGTGAAGTCTGTTAATATTCTGTTATAGAGCGAGTAACTCCATCAACCAGAGCTGTTTACATCGAACTTCATAAAAATGTGCATTCATTTAAGTTACAAATTTTTTTAGTTAATTTGCCAATGTCGTAGATTTCACAGTGGAGTTGATTAAATTCTTAAAAACACTTCTGAATAAAAAATATTTCTAAACATGGGTGTTATTTCTTTCCGATTCAGTTCGTTCAAATGAAAGTAAACATATATATATATATATATATATATATATATATATTGTTATTTTCTCGAAGATTTATACATCATGTGTTTGAATATTTCATCTTAAAGAAATTACTAATATAGGGAAAGTGTGATACATCCCATCAAACATTTATTCACATAAAATCAATACAACATATAAGTATACCTGTAATTCAGAATAGATCCATCGTATCTGTAAGGGGAATGTGCGCACATGTGTAATCAGATCGTCTACAACGATACAGAGTAAGTGATAATACCATTCTTGTTCACGTGTATGATGTTGCAGAGAACCTGAAAATACACCAAAGACGAAATCTGAATTAATTTCTTTTCAAAACAATACACGAAACAAACGAATATTCAAGAAATTATAGTCAACATTTGATGAAAGAATCATAGCCTACATTCAGAAAGTTGTGACATCATTACTATAGTGCAGTTATAAACTCCATGGTTATTTGTCGCTGTTATACTGATATACCCCATGGTTATATGTTTTATGAGACAAGTACTGAACAAATATATTCTATACTTACGTGTCATTCATTACGAATTCGTAGTCATTTACACCATATTGTTGTGTTACTTCTGGTTAATCAAAACATGTTTTGGTGCGGTATCACCTTTTCATCAATGCTTTATTATTATTATTATTATTATTATTATTATTATTATTTGTCCCTTGGGTTCCTAATGGAACATAGGGCTTCAGTAGCACGTCTCCAGTGAACTCTGTTATCTGAAATCCTTTGAACCTGGCTCCACGACAGCCCACAAACTCTCACTTCCTCCTCGCACCATCTCCTACATGTCACCCTCACCTCGGACGACCAACTCGTCGCTTCCCATCTGGCTTTCACTCGAGTGCAAATTCCTAGGTCATAGTCTAAGTAAAAATGCTTAAATGGATGTCAGGAATTTCTTGTTCCGTTTTATCCTCATTCATTCAGGAATATATATAGTCATTGTCAAAGAACAAGTGACATATATTGAATAAACTCTACTGGTCACTAATCTATATATGAACGATGTACCTGTGTCCACTGTTGAAATGATATCGGAAACCAGCAAGACAATAAAAAGGGCTAAAATATTGCTAGTTATGAATAAGCGTTTATAAGCATATTTTCAAAATAGAAGATAAACACAATCAGATTATTTCTGAAGGTTGAGTAGAGTGATTAAAAGCTTCGATACCGCCGCTTCCGAATGACTTAAGCCAGTTTTAGCAGCTAAATCGGTATATTTTGATGCAGCCTTCAGTGGAATTGAAGACAGAGAACTGAGAAGAGAGCTAGAAAAACGTGAGTTATTGAAAATGTTCAGACTTTCGAAGATGTCAAACAACGAATACATCTGCGTCGCTGTGACCGATTTTCAACTTTTCACCAAGGTTTCCCCAACCGATAATCCCTATTATCTCGACGACCCCAGTCAAGCAGTTTAGATCTCTCTAAATGTCTCAGACCGACAGTCAACGACTGCATCGACTGGTGCTATTTCTTGATATGGCACACCTAAGCCTTATTTCAGACTAATCCAACTTCCCCAACATTCCACTTTGAAGTAGGTGGTGGCTCGGAGTACAAAACACATGTCCAAGCCACCTCAGTGACTGAAGATTCACAACCTCATCGACCGACTTACCTGTGTTGCCTAATACCCTTTATCTAACCTTTACACAGCTCAAATAGTCCACAATAAGCCAGAGATTTTTGGAAGAAATCTACAGTCAAAAGTACCTGTAATTTCTTCATATAATCCTAGTCAAAGCAAAAATGTAGTTATAACAACCTGCAGTAATGCTATGTTCTTCATAAAGTCAGCAACACATAGACCATTAGATAACAAAATTAAGTTTCTGGACAATTTATCACAATCTCACTTTGATTTGAAGTAGGAGAAGATGCTTGATCAAATGTCACAGCAGTGGCAGCCCCGGTAGATAACGAACAAGGTCGTGTTGTTATTGAATTATGCGAATTTGCAGTATTTGTACAGTGAACATTATTTCCAATAATAGAGCGTTGATGAGAAGCAGACTTTGTATTGCTGTTATTGTTTTGAAATTGATTAGAATTTAAAGATGGATTCGAAGATGAAGTTGCATGACAAGATGATGATGATATTGGTGGAGGACCTTCAAGAGCTTTCTCGCATACGCGTCGGAAACACTGACTACGCCAAGCTGAACAAACGGAATTGCTATACTTATCCAAGATTTGAGCTCCTAAGGAACTACTTCGGAAAGAATTACCTAAAGGCAATTACAAAGAAACATTTTTAAAAGTAGTTGGACATCCTTTACTTACAAGTGACAGAAATATATTCAACGTTTGTTTGCTAATCGGTAAAACTAATCAAATAAACACGAATGGTTTCATTATATTACAAGCTCATGGCGAATAAAACTTAGAAGAAAGTGGAACCAGTTCAGTGCCCTTTTCGATATTCCGTGAACAAACCAACTCCGGGCTTAGATGCGAAGTTTTCAGCTTCGACTTTAAGGTGGTGATGGTTTCGTTTTCCCCTCTGCTCCAGATTGTTCTTTATACATTCTACTACACAACCACTGTGTTTGTGCTGATAACCTTTTTACCTAAACTTGACGTCTATCAGTCAATATTATCAGTAATGATGGATTTTCTGATAGTTACTACTATCAAATAAGTAATCGTTTATAACCAATGTATAAAATATCCACTAAACACTTATCAGAAAAATGCAACAATAAAATTTCCCGAAGACATGATCTAAAATTTCCAGATAATATAATGAATAAGGTGATCTTCAGGCAGTTTCAAGTTTCATCAACTGATGATATAGCGCAACTAATCCTACTTTGTTACATTAGTTAATATCAAACTAAAGCACATAACTGTTCTTGATCGTTTTCTTAATCTAAGAGCCCGATCATATTCTTAGTTTACCTGTACACCTGCATAAAATGAAGTAAAGATCCATTACCATTAGAAAGTCAACATATGGCCTAATTCGAATTATTCAGAAATTTCAGTAAACTTTCTATTCAAAATCAAATTTAATCCTTTAGAGATGGTCGGTCTGTAAACAACTGCTCTAAGATACCGAGGATATAAAATAAACTTGCTGAGTAATCAATAATACGCATGATTTTTGGATCATAATATAATTTGATTAAGGTTTAATATGCTAGTCATTCATTCAAATTTAAGGGTTTCTTTGATACACACAGGCATGCTTGTGAAGAGTCTAGTAGGAGGAGGAAGAAGTCATTTGGTACGCCCTAGTTACCAACAAGTTCAATCTCTTTTCTAATAATGGTCTTCATCTTAAATGTCTTAGGTCATTCCTAACTTTCCTCCTTGTATTCTGCTCACGTCTTAAGTAACGTCGATTAATACTTGTTCATGTACTCATTAGATAACAGTTCATCATTTGAATACTTTGCAAGATGAAGTTATAATACACCTTCGTTACACTACAGCATTTTCCATATATCGAGAAAACTGGGCGACCATCAAGGGATGGAATCTGAGGGTTATTCTTCGTGCATCCAAGTGACAACAAGTAAAAAATAACAACGCTTTCTAACGAAGAATTTCAAGCAAGACTTACGATTATTAAGAAATTCAATCAGATGCTGAATGATATCCAGCTAGAATCTACATCCATAAGTTCTCAGATTTTGAAAAAGACCCTCAGTAAATACTTCAGTGATGGATATAGAGAAGATAAAATTGAGTTTAAGAAGCCTGATAATATAAATCATGCTGTATTGATGGATAAGGAGGATAGTAACTTTTTCATTATCTAACAGGAGATAATAAATGAAGGGGACGTTTGATCAGATCATATTAATGAAAACCAAAGAGTACTTGCAGAGAGTCTGCGAAATGATGAAACATTTTTAGTGCCATCCCGCCTTTCTGAGTCTAAGCCGCATACTAAGTATTCCAAAAATTTCTCAGAAAGTACCATCGGAGGCTCAAGAATCAAGGCCAACAATTACATAGATACTCAGAGAGTTTCGAAACCGCCTTACACACTTCAGATGTGACAGTCGCTTTGTATGATATAGATAACTATATCGAAGATAACTTATGTCCATACGAGCATATGGACACTACGACCGTCTGCAAGCCAGCTCCGTCTCAGGCATCACATCCAGTAGCCATCAGACAACTAGAAAACCCCTAATGCACCAAATTCACAGGTCGCTAACAGTGCATAAGGCGGTCGGAATCACATCACCGGGGTAGTGAAGAAGCGAAAGACAGGTATACGGGAAGGAATGTTCATTGTCAACAAGTGGGACAGTAGTCGTTAAATATGGTACATCTAGCACTAAAACCGTCATTTGCAAAATACGCTTTACTTCCTCTTCTGCTTCTTCCTTGATTTGCTCTTCATACGCTCACCTTGTCTCTTGCGTTTCTCTTGGCGGAATCCTTACCCATTGCTGGTGATTCCCTATGATTTCTGCCACCCTCTCAACACATACTACTTATATCCATTGTTAACAGCAACGCGCACTACAGTAGTATAATGTGGTTTTTATTTTAACAACTCATCAAATAACGGAGTATCTTACCAGTCAGATTATCTATATGCTGACTACCTTGGCTGAAAATGGATACAAGATCTCAATCTATTAGTTAAAACACTGAGGCTTGCTTCAAAGCAGGACCAAAAGAGTATAGTAGCACTTTTGCTCACTATTTGCATGCTTCAGAGGATATACCGACAAGCTCTATGCCACTTACAGACGACTAGTCTATAAAACAGGTAGATGACTAATGACCTCTAGAAACGTGCCAAGGTCGATCGTGAGAAATTGGTAAGTGAAAGATCGTATAAGATTGTTACCGATGAGAATTTCAGTTGTTCAGGCAATAACCGAAGCCCAAGTAAATTAGTTCACTGAGGTCGGCAAACTTGCTTGACCTTTTCAATATTAAAAATGCCATGGTCATGATTCAATACGCACAACTGGTTGACGTGACCTTTCACCATTTTTGCAAACTCAGTGCCGAACAACAATCAGTCAAAAGACACTAGTGCACGACCCATCTCTATTTCGAAGGGGAGGTGTTATATTGCAGAATACAATTACCAGTTTTAATAAGAAGCCATAAACCCCTGAAGTCTTTTTCAACCAACCCTTTTATCTCGGAGTTTCAGGAAAAATGCGAACCAGCGTGCAAACATCAGATTGTTTGAAGAGACGAAATCAATATAATATTCAAATCTAGAACATGAGGACAGTTACTCAATGACGAAATCAGATAGGGGTCTCATTATATCATGAACTGAAAGAAGTAGGAAATATGGATTATTGGATTCTGACCCAGTGGCTCAATGGAAACGTGCTGGTCACAGAACCTGAAGGTCCTGGTTTTGATCCTTGGCGGGGCGGAGTCATGGGTGCGCACTGCTAAGGGGTCCCATACTAGAACGAAACAGCTGTCCAGTGCTCCAAGAATTTCCACTGTTCCTATAACTGATATCAGTCAATCATGAATGACCAACCTGAGATCAATAAATCCCCAGAAACCTCTAAGTTGAAATGCAGAAAGGCCTGGTAATAGCCAAAGCCATCGTAGAGTTGAACTACTAAAATCAGACTATTCGTTAAGCTACTTTTCTTTGTCTTTGCCTTCATGCGGTCTTTTTGTACACTAAATTTCGAAAAGCTACGCAGAAATTCATCACCACAAGTGATGTTACTCAAGGAACAGATGATAGTATTCTCATAAAACATTTTGGAAAATAATAACGAAAAGCTTACTTGGCTTATCACTATTCACATCAATCCGTAATAAATTGACGATCAGTTCCAAATGACAATTCAATTCGATCGTTATTAATAAAAGACTGGAGACGAAATTCGATTTCTTTACATCATGCGATAATGCATTCCAAACATGAATGCACAATGGAACTAATTCTGAATTCAGACAATTTCTTATCGTCTATGTGTTGAAAAAAGGGAAATAAAATCAAGAATTCATCATATAGAAACAGATTCGTAGTGATAGGGAGAAAATAAACAGTTCGATAATATTGTACTACCTATTCACTAGACAGATTAAATGTGCTGCAATAACTGATATTCTCATGTGACATGGAAATATACTCATGAATCAATTCTGATTGAAGAATTACATGATGATTAGGTTAGAACTAGCTGCAAGTTATATGCAGCTATAGCATGAATGGTCAATAAACTCAAGACTCAATCAATATACATGAACTAGTCATAAATCAGTAATATACGTAGTCGTTTACAACTTAGTGATCAGCAGTGATTGCAGTTTATTCATCAAGTTTGTAATATGGCTAAATAAGCTAAGTGATGTGTTAGTGTAATGCACACTGCATTTCGCTATAAAATGTTGGGAGTCAAGTGGTAGGAAGCTGATGACTTATGTTTGTGCTTCCTGCTACTCATCAAGAGAACACTGGCTTCAGATACACGCGGTTGGTGAATAGCAACAGGCAAGAAATCTAGGTCAAGAGTTTCTTGCTGATTGACCACTAATATCTAACTAAACCGGTATCTCAAGAGGATCGAAGTTCCGCGGAAGCCTAGTTATCCAGGCATCCCCAGTCAGCATTTTATATGTGGAAACCGTATAGGGCTTTACGCAAATATTTTCTTAAAATTCTGTTTCACTGCATCCTAACTGATGATACTGAGATATGAATAAAAGCCGATTACGGGAACGCGAAACTAAGTAAGCAACATTTCTCGATATTACGAAGGCGGATTAACATATCGATTTGTTCTTAAAGGTACATACTATTATTACTTATGATAAAGGCATAAATAATTCAGACGTTAGTAAAAAAGTACATAGACACGTTTTGTTTATTTTTAGTCATTTGTTCAATCATTCTACGGAGTTATGGTTCATGAGTCTAGACTGGAGGACAGAACCTTGCCCACTTCACCTGCTAAGTTTCTCGCAGCCATAAAGCATAATAAGATCTCACACAGTAGGCTCGTTGGCTACTGCAGGAATGTGGATGTAGTTGCTGAAAGTATTTCGATGACAGTATTTATCTTGCTATAATAACTTCTAGATCTCCATTTATCTACTTTTATTGCAATCGACGGTAAACCAATCAATGTTCGGAAACATATTCATTAATAAGGGGAAAATAAAAAGTGTGGTGTTCGACCACCATTGAGCACACAGCGTTGGATAAGAGTTGTGGAAGATACTATGTGAATAATCCAATGATTACACGCAGTCACAGGTGAAAAGATGTTAATCAATTAGTGAAGTTGTGGATCTTCATAAAGTGAGGTGGCTAGGATATGTTTATTTCATGCTTAGTCATCACCTACTTCAACGCGCCTTGTTGGCTAAATTGCGTTTTCACTAAAAAAAAGGTTAAAAAAAATGACCAAGTTAGAAAAAGTGGAATCAGTCCAAAATTTCTGTGAATCTTGATATATGGTATACGGAAAGATAGACTTCCAAGTTGGAGCCCGAAAGATAAGTAAAACCGTTGGTTGTAAACCATAGGTGATACAACTCAGAATTGTTCTCATTGGCACATATACACCCACAGTCTGTATTCATCTTTACAGTCACTTTATCAATCAAATCATATTTTCGACCTTGACCTTCTAAAGATTTCATGATATTAGTTACATCTCTTGATACTTTGTCTTGGTACCCAATGTTTTGACACGCTGCTGTGAAGTGTAGCAACTTGACTCGCTACTCAGTAATTCCACATCCCATACAGAAATTGAGTGATTCCGTCGACAAACTCTGATTAGAAGATGACGAAAATGAAAATACAAATCAGAAATCACATGAATCCCTTACGATATGAGATACAGCCGTTGGGCATAAGTTAGTAACACCATCTGTCTACCTGAATCTTGGTAGGTGGAGAAAGCAAACTTGATCAACTTACTCTAGGACTTTTTTTAGCGATTCCAATCTCATTCAACATTGTACACTGTATGAAGGGTGGTGGCTCTGTATGCATATCATACAAGAAATTAGTTAAACTATTTGAATAATGTAAAAACAATAACATCTGCAAAACGTACCTGACGGAAACCTTCATAATATTGAAATGGTATTACATGCAATTCTGTATGAATAATGGTTATCTGACTATTACTACGCTCTTGTCTATCACATATAGAATAGTGCAAAGGTACTGAAGACGAAGATAAGGATGAAGATGAAGGATGACATGTAGAGAATCTTTGATCTTGATCAGTCACTGCAGAACAAGTGGTATTTCTAACTTGATGCTGTACACGGGTATTATATTGGATAAGATCTAATTCCACCGCAACTTATTCAAAAAAAAGGACAATAAAGAAGCAAATAGCATTACTAGATTATACAGTGCAACTTAGTACAATCTGTTAACAAAAACAGCTAACATGCAAGACGTTTTGAAATGTGCATGCACTAGTTTATGTGTGAATGTGATTCATCAACTACGTATTGCCACTGAGCAGACAAAATAATTGTTTTATGTAGTGATAACATCGGAAAACACAGGATTGCAGGGCAGAAAAGTTTTCTTCTTTCCGACGAAATCATTCTCTTAGCTGTACATTCGTCAATACATGGCAAGAAGGATAGCACATTCCAGAGTAATTCCTGATCAAAGCGCCCTTCAGATTTAACAATGAGATCTATAGACAGATAAGTATTGCGGAAATGGGATCGCCTCGAAAACCCCACCTAGCTGACTGCTTTATGGCAAGACTGGAAGACACAACACTATCGAAAATAATTAGCGAGCTTCATTTCTACCAAAGATACATAAATGATACCTTGATTATTTTTGACGAGAATACGGATCTTGAAAATCTGCTTCAAAACTTCAATAGTGTTCATCCCTTTATCAAATTCACTTTAGAAGAGGAGTGGAACTCAAAATTTCACTTCCTTGACGTCCAACTTCTAAGAAAAGATGACAATTCCCTTCAGAGATCTACTAACAGAAAGCCGAATCGGAGAGGACAGTTTATTAATTTTCAAAGCTGTGTGCCCTCAGGAAGAAACAGGAATCTTATCAATTCACTCTCCTCAAGAATAAGAAGAATATGCACGGAGGATAACATCCATAAACTCCCGAGAAATCCTGATGAAAAATGTATACCCCCTGAAATTCGGAAAGAAGAATCTAAAACGGAAAAACAGCACTGTATGCGTGCATACTGCTTCAAAAGACATTTTAATATTGAACCTCTAATTCAAGGGAGATAATGCCGCAGATATAATTAGAAAGAGACTATCAAGGTCAATTAACAGAATATTCTTTGCCACTAATCTTAGAATCACATTCTTCTATCAGAAACTCATTCGTCAGTATGCGAAGGATAGGCTGGGCCATTGAACTACATCAATGTCAGTATATCAGTTTACTTGCTCCTGTGGAGCCGGCAGTACAATGCACTAGCTTATGCAACGCGTTCACGAATACTATCCAACTTAGCTGACAAGCAGAGAACGGAAATGCATCGTCAGCTCAGTAACAGAACACTTAGAAAACTCAGGACATTTGGCTCCTTTTCATAGGTCCTTAAAAGTTCAGCATAAAGTGCAACCAAGCCACTAGAAAAGGGTGAGGCTAAGACATCTATCTATGTATAGCCGAAGCATTAGCGATTCCGAAGTTCAAATCATCATTCTGCGATCAAAAGTGTGTACAACCTCTATGTTTGCCGTGATCACCGTGCAAACTATCGATCACTTTAAATAGCCCACATATGAGTCAACAATTTTTATTTTGTAACCATTTTGTATATTCCCCCATTACGTAACTTTCCTTTGTGATACAATTTATATTGACTTTGAACTAGTGATTACTCTGGAATGTTATATCCTTTTTGTAAGAGAATGATTTCGTCGAAAAGAGGAACTTTTTCTTCGCTCCAATCGTGTGTGATAGTGATAACAATTTTTAAAAAACTAATGAACAGCTGATTCGATCCATAGTGGGACTAAGTGATTAACACCTATGAGCTGTATACTATCAATAAACTAACTAATTAACCAGAAAGAACCCACTTATTCTTAACCTTAATAGCTAACACGGTCTTAGTCAAGGTCACTGAGTTTATGAAACTTATTTTTTGCAGAAAGACAGTCGACAATCTAACCTTTATAATGCCAATTGTCACACCAAACCCTAAAAGGGTTAGGATTACCAATAAAAGCCTTGTAAAGTACAAAAATCCAAACAAGATGCACCGTCCTCGATTGAGACTACTGACTAGCTTCCGTGCTAAACTTTTTCCAGTATTAAATTTTGTAATCAACAGCTCTCCTGATCTTCTTGCTATTATTTCTGCTATTGTGCACCATAACTTACTGATTACCACCATTTAATCTCAGATAATTTACAATACAAAGCAAACGACTTCAAAAACTATATAGGTATATAATGAAAATCATTTAATATTTAAAACGTCTGGAAAAAACCAAGATCTTCAATGACGAAATAGACCAGTCTCATCTATACTGAGCTGTTGGCTAGCTATCAAATCAATCAGGCTGGCAATTTTCAGGAGCATATACATTTAAATTTCCCATCAACAAATGATCTGCTGGAAAATCTTGAATCTAAGACTTGCCTACCAGTGTACTTATCATCAAGGTTCTGTTACATACAAGAAGAATTGTTGTTAACCTCCATTTCCAAAAACATTTCGTCCAAAAGTACCCGAAATCTCTCCACTAACATGATAAGCAAGCTGCTGATTACCTCAAGAAATCGGATACATATACTGACTGATGAGTGAACAGTAGGATATTTCATACTGCCCAGCACCAAAGATTGATGAAATTCAGTTTATAATATTTACCGAAACATGAAGTATTCAGAACGGTTAGATGTAAGTCATAGTTCACACTATATATATATATATATATATATATATATATATATATATATATATATATATATATATATATATATATATACATAAGCATTCAAGCCATGAAATGTTCCTTATGATAAGACATAACCTATCAACCAAAGCACACATAACTTCCTAAAGGCATACGCACCTTCCTTTAAAATAGTTCACTTACCCGAGCGTTTGCGTTTATCCTCCTTCACTAAGACTTCAACCTTCTTAAACCCATAAGGAAATTCACTGTACACGTGACCAAAAAAAAGAAAACCACAAGAGATCAGAAACACCATGAAAAGCATGCAAACAAAACATTAGTACTCAGCTACAGACTTCCCACAAGTGTTCAAAACAAAAAAATCGCCAAACAGTTTTTTAAATCATCACAACCTTCAGCAAAGAAAAGCAATTAAACATCAAACACAAATTAAGACCTTACAGCCAGCTCCAAAAAAAAAAGAAGAACAGTAGTAACTCAAGCGCGAACCCCCTAAATGAAGTTCATGAACAGCAAAGTACGAAAAGCAAAGTAGGATCCAGATCTGGTCAAGGGTGAATCCAACGGACACTCATTCCCTTTCCACTAGGTGTTTGAACACACTTGTCACTAGTTGTATTTATCGACCTGATGGTGGTATCCGGTCCCATCAATAGACAGGTCTTACGGCAATGTCTATCACCAGAATGGTTCCCAAGTGGGAACACCACTCCATTGAAGGTACTGTACTCCAGCACCAGTGGACGTGTCAGAACCAATCGTGAATTGTGCACCTCGAATGGTGTCCCCTCCCTCCAGTCTCACTTCCTTTTGTCAGACATGTACTTATGGTAGTCTCTTTCTCGTCGAAAGACTTAACAGGAGTCGATCTCGCAGGAGACTTCTCACTAAACCAACAGTATGCAGATGAAAGAGTCCTGTGTTAAGCGAAGATGCTAACAAGATGAAGAGTCTACCAAACACTATGAGTGGCAACTTGAAAATATATTAAGGATGCTGTAATCAGCACCAAAATACGAATTGTCACTTCAGAATAATTCTGCGTTGGTGCATCGTCTGACAAGCGAGAGTGAAGTGGTGAGACATGTTTCCCACCTCACTTACTCAAGAAGTCTGATCAGCTCTGACAGGTCAGTGACTGACGAATCTGAGCACAGATACAAAAGCCGTGATCGATTCCTACCGACTAACAACAACAACAACAACATTTATGGTAAGGGTGTGATATTCAATTACACATTGAAGGCAAAATGTAAAGAACGATAATCAGTATGTGATTATGAAATGTGGGGAATATGAAGAGTTTCGGGTGTTCGCCTAGCGTTGTCTTCTTAGCATAAGCCGTGTGTCATTGTGATATCACATCAGTGACGTACAAGTCAGACATAAAGTGATGACTGAGAAAGATAGTTTATTTCGTTGAGGCTGTAAACCTCCTCGACACAGATAACTCGAATATGTGTTAGGCGTTCCCAGTCACTATCTACCCTGTCGCACATTGTTAGATGAAATAGGTCTAGCGTGGAAGAAAAGGTTTTGGGTGGTCAGATTATAACATGGTATCGTTGACTGTTGGTTTGGGACGTGTATGGAAATGTGAACTTCTTGGATTGGGCCTATTTGACAAAGGAATGACGTTTTTCGAGGCTGTACATAATGTAACTCGGAGTTGATCTTAATGGTGCAGATCTGTCAACACATTTTTGTTATCTTTAATTTCGTTTCCTTCTACTTTGATGTTCTGCTGTGAGGTATGATGTGTTGGGTCACAGTAATGCCAGGTCCTATACTGCTACTGTTTGACTGATGGGCCGAGGTGTGAAATTTCGAAATGTCGACTTTGAAGATTGCTGTCGAAACCAGTCACTACTCATACTTGTAAAGTAGCTCCCAACTGAACAGCTTGAGTGAATTTAAGTTTAAATTATTTTTAACATTTCTTATTTAAAGGTATGTATTATTATCATCATAATAAAGAAGGATAAGGTACTTCAGACCTATAGCTGTTTACTATGTATATCCAAGAATTTCAAACGAACAGCGATACATACAATCATACATAGACATAAAGTGATGATTGAGAAAGGTAGTTCTAGTTCTATAATGTTTTAAACGTCCGTCAACTGAGGTGTTTTGTATATAGGCATATATAGACATCATCCGCCGCGTTACATAATGACAGCTAACAGGTGAAGAATCATTCAGACTAACAATACAAAAATGTGAGACCAGCCACTGAAGCCTTTGGCCGCTGGTTTAAACTGCATAAAGAAATGAAAGCCTTTTGGTTGGATGCATTATAAGTAAATTTTTTTAATGAAAGGTTTGCACACAATGATGTTTTCATTTTAGTAATATTTCGAGCAAATTTACTGCCTGTGATCACAACATTTGGAAATTCCTAATGATAATATTTATATCAATATTACCAAAGTAAAAAACGTATCATTGCGTGTAAAATCGCCATTGAACAATTTATTTCTAATACGAAGTTTATCTAAACAATGTGATATTTTTGCGCAATACATTTTGAAGTGTGTTGCGCAAATACATCATATTAACTTCGTCTTCAAATTACACTAAATTCATAGAAGGGACTAACTGTTTCAAATTACTTATAATACAATAATCCATTCCAAAATGAATAAATTTTTCATTGATATAGTTTTTGGTTGGGCTCCAAGTTACAACCGAAGTCGATGACTGTAGACTTCACATGGTATGGCTCCGAATTGATCTCAGCGGTGCAGATGTATCCATACATTATCTTCAGCCTTGTTATCGTTTCGAATTTTGTAAATATCATATCACCTATTCATCTCTTCTTACGAATTCTTACTACTTTTCATTACTTTCTTTCTCATTTCTCTATCGTTCATCCTGTTGCCTTCTACATTGGTGTGCTGGTGTGAGGTGTTACGACTTGAGGTCAAACACTAATTTCGACTAGCTGAACAAATGGTCTTCGGGTCAACAAACAAACACTTTATTGACAGAGTTAAGAGGCCTGATTGCTGATCAGGTTGATTTACAAACCGTTTATCTATAAACAGTTTGAATTTCGGTGGCTAAATATCATCCAGGTGAAACCATATAGTTGCACGGAAGGATTCATGACAAATTGTCAAAATATAAACGGCTCTTTTATGGCTTACATTGGTGAGAACATCTTTTAAGGAAGCATATTTCACTATGAGTGGGTTCTCCTTACTAACTGCAAACCATACAATGGGTTTATTAAGAAATTTTACTGCTGTAAGACAAATACTCCATTCACACATGGGGCTCAAAGAGGGAGTTTGTTCTTGATGCATGCTTCAACCAACTGTCAAATTCAGAGAAGAACGGTCGCAGTTCAGTAGCATTCTGACTGCATTAAAAAGTCCTTTAGTTTTCAGTTCAGCAGGGCTGTATCCCATGAATTTAATATTCATTAACAAGATTTTAGGAGCAGTAGGAACCCATTCTTGTTACTGATTTGGCCTCGTACTTTTTGCGATCAATTTTGGGAGACAGCCACTCAGGAAAAGTACCTTTCGACAACTTTTTACCTTTCCGCCCGCGGCCGTATTACAGCAAATTCTTCTAATTCTCTTGCAAAATGAATACATCACGTTCCTTTCCCTGTCCAGTGGCATACAATTTTGTCTGTCACTGAAAGGCATGCCTAGTAAGTACATCACCTTATTGAAAGCTCTCTACTCGAACACTTGTGGGCATGTTAGAGCCTATGGCGAGTTGTCCAGGGAGCTATACTCATCTAGTGGTATCCGTCAAGGATGCCCACTATCTCCATTCTTATTTAATTTTATCATAGATATTCTTATGGAGGTTTCCCTCTCGTCACCTAATTACACAGACGTTGACCTAGTCACAGGTGAATTTTCTTTAGATCTAGAATATGCAGGTGGCGTAGCCAGTCCTGTTAGGTGAAGACGCTGACAAGATGCAGAGTCTTCTGAACACTTTGAGTGGGAATTTGAGAATGTTTGGGATGCGATTTTCACCACCCAAATGCAAATTTTTGCTCCAGGACTGGTCTTCAACGGTGCCCCACCGTGGCTAACAATAGAGAGTGAAGTGGTTGAGTGTGTTGACCACTTCACCTACCTGGGAAGTAGGATCAACCCCTGTGGGTTAGTTGCCGATGAGATCTCTGCACGGATACAAAAGGCTCGATTGGCTTTTGTCAATTTGCGCCACCCATGGCGCCGCCGTGATATCCGTTTGTCTATTAAGGGTCGCGTGTACTGCACAGCAGTCCGCTCTGTTCTACTGTATGGCTGTGAAACATGGCCATTGAAAGTGGAAGATATACAAAGGCTTCAGGTGTTTGACCACCGTTGCCTTTGTAGTATAGGACGTATTCCGTGGTGTCACCACATGAGCAATGCAGAAGTTAGGTGTAGAGTTTTAGGGAGAAGAGGTAAGTCAGTTTACAAGGCTATGAACCTTCATCGACTGAGATGGTTGGGACACGTACCACGTATGCCTAGTCACCGATTGCCTTGTCACACAACGTTGGCTGAGGTGAATCCAGGCTGGAAAAAGGCCCGAGGTGGCCAGACTAAAACATGGCACCAGTGTATGAAGTCTCTGACTGTTGGTTTAAGCCATGTAGGACGATGCAGACTGACTAGTTGGGGTCCACGGGACGAGAGGAACCAGTGGTTGGAGCCTGACTCTAGGTGATATGGCTCAGAACCGATGTCAGTGGCGCAGATGTATACACACATTATCCTCATTTTAACTACACTATACCGAATCTCACCATTTTGTCGCTCCTCTTTCCCTTACTCTCGTACTTTATATTTCTTTTGACTGCATTCACTTATCTTCATCCTTCACCTCACTACCTTTCTACTTGATGAACTGATGTGAGGTGTGGCAACTCGAACCGTTACGCAGTAATGCCTGGTCCTATGTTGATAATGATTGATTGAACATTGAACTCAAAATGGTAAACACTGGATAACTGCAAAAAATAATCGAGTATATAAAGTGATCAAGAAAATATTCTATGCTACCGAATGGCGAACGGTCTTCCCAAGCATAAAGTTCATTTCAAGAAGTATCACATCAATACACTACCCTCAAAAGTATATTCGCTGATTTCAACAGACTTTCTAACGAAAATAACAGAAATAAGAAATTATTAAATAGAAATTGTGTTGTGATTATAAAATAGAACTATGGCTTAGGATGATAAGAAATGATAACAATTTGATTTCCTCTGAGTCTTAATATTTTGCATGAACTTTTCATCATCGATACTTGCTTCACAAAGTAAACTTTATGAATTTGATGTTAATAATATATCCAAACCTAGTGATGAAATGAACACAACGAAATATTATAGCCCAGGGAACACTAAACCGGCAAATTCCTTTGTAAAGTGCAGAGAAGACATCCGTGATAGAAGAAATACAATTACAATTTCGTAAAATTCATTTAGAAACGATATCAACAATTATGATACTCTATAATACTAATAACTAATAGTTATCAGGGCTGAATTCCAGAAAAAAAAACATTTCACTCAATTTAAAACATACTTCGGTAGAATTTTCAAATTTTTCTGTTATTCTTCTTCGCTTTCAAGAAATGAGCCCCGTAAGTGAATACCTTTCTGGAATGCACGTACATCCATGAAGAGAAGCAGGAAGACACGAAAATCCACCAGGCAAAATTTAACGAAAACAGTGTCTCGTTAAACAGAATTATCAATTAGTAATATCATTTGTTCCTCGAGTTCCCAGTGGAAAATAGGACTTCAGTAGCACGTCACCATTTCACTCTCTTCACTGCAGTCTATTCACCCTACCTGCAACACTGCCCACAAGCTTTCACTTACTCCTCACATGACCTCCTCCATATCACTCTCAGCTCGCACGCCTAACTCGTCGTTCCCCCTTTAGGTTCCACTCGACGGCCTCGCCTATAGCGTGATGTCACCAATCGAACTTCTCAGTGTATCCCCAATCTAATACATCTCCACTTTCTTCTTCTGCACATTTGTTGGGTGAAGGGTTCTTCATTGTTTCGTTGCCAGACCAGAGTTAGTCCCTTGTTGCTTATTCTTCTTGCCAATCCATCTGATCTCCAGTGTCATTATCGAGCCTAGGTAGCTGTTGATGATTGTCTAAAGTTTGTTGGAAATGCTTTCCTTAACACGTCAAGTTTCTGGACCATCCCACAGAAGCGCTGACTTGACTGACATTAGTGTTGAAAATCCGGATCTTGTTCACGCTTTATGCTGAGTCCAGTGCAGTTCAGTGCAGTGCAGTGCAGTGCAGCAGATCTCCACACTGATTTCACTTTAATGAAGACCTGTCTTGATGTCTTTCCGATCCTGGCTGCTTCGACGTCCTCATTTGTGTCACCGCTGCCTGCAGTTGAAACAATGCTGCATTGCCTAGGTAGGTGAAAAAGACTACTATCCTTTAGGTTTCTCTCTTTAATGATGATCGGTGCTTGTTGTTTTTGTTGATGTTGCTGTTGTTGGTTAGGCATCTTCATCACTCCTGTCTTCTCTACACTCACCTGAAGGAAGTCCCATCTTCGCTGACTCACCTCACCTCTTCTGTCAACTTGTTAGTATTCACCTGTAGATCTCCGAGTTTGTGTGACAAGACATTAGACATAAATCATCATCGGCGGCGAAATGCAAATCTTCTTCCAGTGTCTTTTCATCGGTCCAGTTAGTGTATATGCCCATCATCTCACAGTTTCTTGCATCGTCCAGTTCAGTCCAGTGCAGGAAGATCATCGGTGATAGTAGGCAGCTTTGTCATACGCTTGTTCTCACTTTAAAGGCGTCGCTGAGCTTTCCATTGTGAATCACTCGGCATGTGGAGTCATTACATAGCTGTTGAATGAGGTTGATAAAGGTTTGTGGAACTAAATCCGTAGTGTTGGTAGCCATCCAAAACTCAGTGTACTGTGCTCGTGGTTGTCGTGTCGTCTGGGTGACAGTATTGGAGTAGATTATTGACTCCTCTCCAGTTGACAGTTTGGAGAGTCCACTTCCATTCCGTCTGCCGATTCCTCACAGATTCCCAGTCTAGCACTTCTATCCCATTCCTCCTCATCTCTTTGGCAATCTGTGCAGCCTTGCTAGCCAGCTTCAAACATGGTGTGGGTATTCCATTTCCTCATCCTTACTTTAGCTTTCATCGAGAGAGAGAGAGAGAGAGAGAATACACATCGGCCAATTGGTTTCTCGAATGCTTTCAGCAACTAGCGTCATTTCGTCTCCCCGATTCCAGTGAGGAATAAGTTTATTTTTATTTTTTGTGTTTTCTTTTTGCTTTGAAGTTTTTTAAGTGATTGGCTTGGTTTCGCGGAGTAGAACTGCTAGGCATATGCTCAACCTTCCCAATTTATCCGTGCTGAGGACCGGCTAGTAACTAATGTATTAGTTACTTAAGCGAGGTTGGTTAAACAGAAGCATGACTCAAAATTGAAACAGTTCAAGATTATCTAACACTTCCTCCAAACTCAGAAAAACAGGAAATAAGCATCTTGAAATGGTTACACATAACCTAGTTGCTGGGTATCAAACTTTTGATGATGTCACCTATTGCTTGTTAACACCAACTATCCTGCATACTTAATTTAATCGCCTATTTTTCGAGAAAACATTGAATTTCTCAGTCTGGTTAAATTTTGCACCGTAATAAGCAGTGATTATAAATGGAACGCCCAGAAGTATTTAATGATGGGTATTCTGAAGACTAATTGGATTATAGTGCGGTTACTTAATGATAAGGTGTTCGTCATGAGCTCTGGTGACCCTAGGCTTGATCTCTTTCAAAGTCGTGGGTGTGTTCTGCTCAGAAGTCCCAAACTACGAAGAGACAACAATCTACGTTTCCAAAGCTTCTTCAAATGACGTCAATCTATTGTAAATACTGCTTTGAAAACCCTGAAATATGTTTCAATGAAATAAGACCAGGTAACCACTAAGAGTGAACCAAAATAATTCCATACTATTTACGTCAACAAAAATAAGTAAGTTCCTCTTTCAATAGCTTACAATTTTATAAACAGAATAAATAAAATGTCGATAATCGCTTACTCTAAGAAGACGGAAACTGCTGAAGAACCAGAATATGCACGCGCAATTTCGAATCCATCTAAGTTGACTGAATAAACTGACTCATCTCGACGAGATTTTGATGCCGATGAAGAGGCCAATTTGGCATTATTGAACTAAAAACATGCAAGCGACAAAAAATACGGAGATTTTAGAAAGAGTTGTAACATTAACGACAAAAAAGTAAAGAAAACAACACATAAACAAGATTTGATAACGAATTATGCTAACTTACTTCAGTAAAATGTAGGCGGATCGAAAACAGTAATAGAATGTTTATATTCTTCACTTCAGATTTATCGCTCTTCATTTGATTCGTTAACGGTATCGGCATTATCGTTAAACTCCTTGAGTGGCATTATTGTTTTTTAAGTACAAATGATTCCTTCTGAAAGGTGATGAAAGCCTATCAACGTCTAGTCGAATTTTCAGTTTGGTACCCTCAAGAGGTGGAACATTGTTAATAATGGTTTTCCTAGTTTACTAATGTGTTGGTAACATTGAACCAGAAAACATTCCTTTCACACCACCTATCCCAAGAGACCAATAAATCTGGAGTCCTCTCCCATTGTGTGATTCGAAATAGTGTGCTCAGTTTCTTCAGGATATGATGTTTCTCTAACATAGTAGAAAACACGTGTAATTGATAAAATAATGCAACTCAGCCTGCTGGGAAATGAACTTCAGTAAATGTTTGAGAGCTAAAGATATTACTACTACCACTCTACAGATTATGCTACCCGGTGACGGAAGTCAAAGTAAGAGGGGATGATTTTCAGCGCTTGACGCACTATCTGAAAGTCAAATACTTAATTCAACGAGCTATATCTGAACCTCCATTTTATATAAACACACCGTGCCATTCGACAGTAAAAGTGAACTTCCTAAGGCTTCAGTCTACCTAAAAGCGATGCTTATTCTTCTACTATACGGTAGTCAAACATGGCCATTAAAATTGGAAGACCCATTAAGGTTTCATTCTTATTGATCTACAATACACTTGGATTATTGGTTGGAAAACGTGAGCAATAACAAGGTTAAACGAAGGGTTAAAAAGACTAAATGTATATGAAATTATTTAAGAAATGTACGGAACAAAGCAAGCAGTATATCCACTAAATATACCTTAGGATGATAACACAGATGAAAACAATAACTAATGCACGGGATAACCATCAGTCTCAATTATATACCCATATGAATAAATAACGCATACTTTGACAAGTACGTTTTCATACTCCGTTCCGACCTTTTATATCGAGCTTCTTTACTGCTAGTAGGATGATTATCTGCATCGTTTAATTCTCATCTTCTCTACATACCACGTTTGTTACGCTATAGCAAAGTATAGTAAGTTGAACCATTTAACTATTGTATATGATTATATGTATCCCCGTTCGTTTGAAATTCTTGGATATACATAGTAAACAGCTATAGGTCTGAAGTACCTTATCCTTCTTTATTATGATGATAATAATACATACCTTTAAATAAGAAATGTTAAAAATAATTTAAACTTAAATTCACTCAAGCTGTTCAGTTGGGAGCTACTTTACAAGTATGAGTAGTGACTGGTTTCGACAGCAATCTTCAAAGTCGACATTTCGAAATTTCACACCTCGGCCCATCAGTCAAACAGTAGCAGTATAGGACCTGGCATTACTGTGACCCAACACATCATACCTCACAGCAGAACATCAAAGTAGAAGGAAACGAAATTAAAGATAACAAAAATGTGTTGACAGATCTGCACCATTAAGATCAACTCCGAGTTACATTATGTACAGCCTCGAAAAACGTCATTCCTTTGTCAAATAGGCCCAATCCAAGAAGTTCACATTTCCATACACGTCCCAAACCAACAGTCAACGATACCATGTTATAATCTGACCACCCAAAACCTTTTCTTCCACGCTAGACCTATTTCATCTAACAATGTGCGACAGGGTAGATAGTGACTGGGAACGCCTAACACATATTCGAGTTATCTGTGTCGAGGAGGTTTACAGCCTCAACGAAATAAACTATCTTTCTCAGTCATCACTTTATGTCTGACTTGTACGTCACTGATGTGATATCACAATGACACACGGCTTATGCTAAGAAGACAACGCTAGGCGAACACCCGAAACTCTTCATATTCCCCACATTTCATAATCACATACTGATTATCGTTCTTTACATTTTGCCTTCAATGTGTAATTGAATATCACACCCTTACCATAAATGTTGTTGTTGTTGTTGTTAGTCGGTAGGAATCGATCACGGCTTTTGTATCTGTGCTCAGATTCGTCAGTCACTGACCTGTCAGAGCTGATCAGACTTCTTGAGTAAGTGAGGTGGGAAACATGTCTCACCACTTCACTCTCGCTTGTCAGACGATGCACCAACGCAGAATTATTCTGAAGTGACAATTCGTATTTTGGTGCTGATTACAGCATCCTTAATATATTTTCAAGTTGCCACTCATAGTGTTTGGTAGACTCTTCATCTTGTTAGCATCTTCGCTTAACACAGGACTCTTTCATCTGCATACTGTTGGTTTAGTGAGAAGTCTCCTGCGAGATCGACTCCTGTTAAGTCTTTCGACGAGAAAGAGACTACCATAAGTACATGTCTGACAAAAGGAAGTGAGACTGGAGGGAGGGGACACCATTCGAGGTGCACAATTCACGATTGGTTCTGACACGTCCACTGGTGCTGGAGTACAGTACCTTCAATGGAGTGGTGTTCCCACTTGGGAACCATTCTGGTGATAGACATTGCCGTAAGACCTGTCTATTGATGGGACCGGATACCACCATCAGGTCGATAAATACAACTAGTGACAAGTGTGTTCAAACACCTAGTGGAAAGGGAATGAGTGTCCGTTGGATTCACCCTTGACCAGATCTGGATCCTGCCTTGCTTTTCGTACTTTGCTGTTCATGAACTTCACTTGGCTGTCTGATGTCCTCACTAAATGGAGATTATATATTATATATGTCAAAGTCGTTTGCTTCTTGTCTTCGTATGAGGAATAGTGGCGTTATTTGAAGACTGGACAAATTAGTAAGACGAGTCAGAGGAGATCACATTTGTTTCCCACATGATAGTAAACACTTCAGTTAATTTATCGAATAATAGTAAACCCCCATCTTCAAATATCTGTGCTATTTGGTCCTGTTTCCTATACTTGTTTGAAGTTAATTATAGACTTCTCAGCTCCCTGTTGTTCGTGTCTCGATCTTCCATGTATTATTTGAGTGTATGGCGGACAACTGATTGGTAGTTGGAGCTTACTTAAAATGTTCCGTAATGTGTTCCACTGTCGTTTCAGTTATCAACGCTGTTGGTGAATCGGAGACACATCCATGGATGTTATGGTCTCGCTGTCCGTTGACATTCTCGCCGCACTTTAAAAGTCAAATAGTAGCCCGTTGTTGACAATCGCCGGGGCTTTTTCCATCTATTTAGCCTTTGTTACTTACCACTGATCGTTTTCACATCAGAGACTTTTCGTCAGTTTATATTCGGTTGCTTTAGCTGCGCTTTGTGCTCAGAGTTTTAAGGAATGGGTTGTTTTGCATCCTTTAAAAAAGAAGACGTTGATGTGGTCCACTGACGCTATCTCTCCTTTTTCTACACGTTGACTGCGATATCTGACACTTTCCATTGTAGAATGGAGATGAAGGCAGGCTTCTTCAATATGAGTGAGGTTGTGGTTTTCTAATAACTGGTTAATCAGTTTCCGAGTGAAAACAGCTCAAACGTTCTCGTCGAGAAGTTAGACTTCAAAATGATTTCATTGATGTAGGCTTTCTACGTCCATGTGGTGCGTCCATGCGTGCTCGAGTCACAGTCTGATTTCTATCTAACGTATCAATTATTTCCCACTGACCATATTAGGCGATAACTTAATTTTGTTGCACCTTAGATTGTCTATTTACTTAGCAGACTGATACAAAATGTTTACTGGATGACATTTCAAGCAGAAGTTATTTCCCATAGTCACATCAAACTTCACTTGTATAGTCCAACAGCTTTTTATTCTTTTATTTTAGTGGTGATTCATTTCTGAAACATGTGTTAGGTTGATTTCACGATAAAAGATTAAATGATAAACATCTCTCTCTCGACCTAGGCGTATTGGATTTTAGAACTGTCACTCCATCCTAACCTAGTGTGTTATTATGAGTCAGTACAAACAAAGCAATAGTCGACTTTTTCTTCAAAAATATTACTTATCTTTGTAATGCTTATCATTCTACGTTTTGATAAATTTTGTGCTCCAATATCATAACTGATCCGATTGGTGTGTTCATCAATGAGTTGAAGTTCATGGATGCCAAATCAGACAATATTTTTATTGTCTAAAGCTCGTGTTGGCCATATATACGTGCATGTCTAAGTAAAGTTGCAGAAGGTGATTGCATTTATCTGTTCGTTTGGTTGACAGTAAGACACTAGATAGATTTCATTGAAACTCATCTTACATTTCATATGACCTGCAGTCATTAAGTAGAAATTACAAAGGGAAAACGGCAAGTTTCACGGTTACTTTCAGTCGCAAGCACACTGACCAGCCGAACAGAGTACAGGGAACTAACAACTGGAATTCAGTCGAGCGGTGTACTCACTCTCTGCCTAACGAATCTATGGTATTTTTACACATGCAAGGCCGCCAGGGCTAGCCATCGAATCTCCGGAAACTCGAAGGGTTAAGTTTGCAGATTATCTATAATGACCGAGTGAGATAAATTGAATAGTCACACTTAGGTTTCATGTGTGTCTTACAAACACACCACGCATCAGAGTTTCAGATAGTTGAGCTTCTGGACCAATTTTACCGAGGTTGCAAACATGGGAAATTCCAATATTTAGTTTGAAGCACAGCTTCAGGAGTCTACAAATGCTGTTCTGTGAACTCAAATGGTTATGAACAGCTGTAGAGCTTGAACAAATTAAAGATAACAGGAATATTGACTGGAAGATGAGTATAAAGATCAGAAGGTAAAGATGAAGAAGGTTGATAATGAGCTGAGGGAACTAGAGAGCGAGGACAGTTGCAAGGGTGAATGACATTTTCCGGCAGTTCACATCGCGAAAGGTTACCTTTTCCTGAAATATGTGAAAACGAACTTGCGTTATTAATAATGAAGTGTGGTTGAAGGGCCCACGGGACATTTCCTTGAGGCCTACCATAGTTGTTTGAGGATCACCATATAGAGATTTTATTGTGCTAACCCTGGACAGTGAAAACCCATACCGCAAAACCATCTGCGTACACCTCAGCTGAACTGATGTACACGTGATTCTAAGCACTGATAGTTACAGGAACTCTTTGTAAGTTCGTTAATTTCGTTCGAAATCAACGTTAGGTAGACATGATCAATGTTTCAACTTTATCTCTAGGTTCTCTAATCAACCTCACTGACGAGCTGAAGTAATTTCAGCTACTTTCAAAACCGTTTTAAGTATAAACCATCCACTTACAAACGACAGCAATTCAATTGTTGACGCATATATATATATATATATATATATATATATATATATATATATATATATATATATATATTGATCACTTATTCCTGTCAGGAACATCAGTCCACTATATACGATTGTGAACGGGATTTCCCAGTCATATAGTTTTTGTAGTAAACTGGTATATCATTGTATCAAACAGTATGTTGATTATACCCGTCTCTCTATGTTAGGAGAAAATTTGAAAATAAAGACTAGTGAGAATATTCAAGCCTTGGAAGACGTCAGGGAGGGAATGCATAAGCCACATCACGAAGGTCTCCAACCATTGGTTTCCTATAGTATGATAATGATAATAATAATTTACGCATGGATTTACAGGAATTCTAGTCTACACACCACTGAGACCTGTTCTGTGTACAACTGATGACAACGGACGGATTACTACCTCTGTGAGAGACAGATGGCATCCAGTAGGAGCATGACGTCAAAATACAGGGGTCAAATAGTATATTCAAGCACAGTCGTAGCAGCAATTAATCAGGTAATATTATGTTTTGTGGTCGGTACATTATTCTCACAGCTTTCAAAAGAATCACTGTTCATAAACGCACTAAATGAGAAGACAGTTTTTGATATGCTGCTATAGAATCGAAATTAGCTGAGTTAGACTAGCATATTGTTTAATGTAATCCGGGTGATTGTGTCACCTTTTGACTACAGGCGTTCTCAAATAGGTAGTAGTATGAAACATACAGTATGTAATAAATGTTTTTCATTTCTCATTACTTCCATAACTCTGTGTGTTATTTCTCTTTGACACTATTGTTGTTTTTCTGCAGTGTATGTGATAACACCCATCTCATGCAAACGATTACAATTAATTTTCAGTAGTAGTAACCTACCTGGCAGAAGAGACAAGTTAATAGGTGTTTAAATGTAACAAGATAGGAATTTTAGAGATACAGTAGTATTTCCAAAAGACAAAGGTGTTAAACATCAGATAGACTGGTACACCTTCGGAATAACGACTAACAAAAAAGGAAATAAAAAACACGATTATGTATTTTTTAAAAGAGCGATTATGCACCAAAGATGAAAAAAAGGTGGAAATTACCTTGATTTCCAGGCTACGATAACATCTCAAATGTGTCTGTCTAAGTGATACATTATCTTCTGTCGCCGAATCTCCTTTCGTATTACGACAGTGTCGTTTTAAACTTGTCGCCCAACGTTGGTAAACAGTTTCCAAGGTGGCCGGTGGTAAACTACAATTGACATGGCAGCTATTATCTTGCACATTTGCAGTGATCGAAAATGATGATGATGTTGACCTGTTATTATTATTACTATTGTTATTATTTACAGGGGTTAAATTTGAACGAGCAGCCCAATCACATGCAAAACGACAGCAACCTGAATGGTGAAAAGGGAAAAAAAACTTTAATGTATCCGTTTGTTAGGAAAGAAAAATGTAACATATGTGATTAGTTTCAAAACAGATCTACATCAAATGGCTGAAAATATCCAGGTTAAGTGTGCTACGATAAGCTGCAGGCAAAAGACGTTGGAATCACATGCTCCAACCAAGACACATACTTCTAAAGGTTGTTCTAATGATACAGTTTCTTGTTAGCCATGTATCTTCTAAATTTCCTACTAAATATAATTGGGATTTAGAGCATGTTTATTGTTAGAACACAAGCTTAACGTAACACGGGCACCAGGAGATGCACCAAACAAAACAATCAAACAACATTATCAAGACATAGGGAATAAAAAAGACGATGGAAACTGAAAACCTCTCTGCTGCTTCCAATCAGTCACGGGGCTAGAGAACAGTGAACGTTGTGGAAGCTATTGGGACAAAATACATAACAACACATATCTGAACAATCGAAGCCAATGTTTCAAGGTGACCCTACTCAGTGAGTGGCAGTTTTCATCACACTCATATACACCTCACTTCACCTCAGAATTAATTGATGTTTCTACCTGATACTAGAAATATTATTGAGACAACGGTGATAGGAATCGTAGAGTGATCAAACATCTTCTGCTTTAAAAAGTCAAATTTAACAAGTGTAGAGAAGAACTAGTCAGATTAACGTAGCGTATACCCGATATTTTACAGCAACGTTAATATCAGGACAGCACCAAAGGCAACTCAGGTTGACATGTGTCACTCTGGTTCTCGATATACGGTTTGAAAGCTCATCAGCCACACTTCCACCAGTACTCACACAACAACCCGGGTACAAAAACGTTTTGGCAACTTCCAACGATTCACTACCAAGAGTGAGTGCATGTATAGGCTTCTGCCAACTTTGTAGAACCATTTTTCACGTAGATAGTACGAAGCCTATATTACGCCTATGGACACTGATCGCTAACTGATTAAATGAGATTTGAGTATTCTGTACTTTGTTGCACAGTAAAGTGACATCACCTGCATATCCAGGGTTTTACACCAAGTGTCGGTTCTACCATAACCACCAAGGATTTCGTTCAGGGCTGTTCTCTAAAATTTCATCGATGGCAAAGTTAAAGAGGAGCAGAGAAATCAAGCAGCCCTGTCTAACCCAACTAATGGTTTAAAACAATGGAAACAAGTGTCTGTAAAATAGTATAATGAGACAGCAAATAAAAATATATAACTTGAAAATAGTTACATGAAGTGGTCGTCACTTGGACAGTATCACACCAAAGACGCTAACATATAACGTCAGAAAGAGATGGGACCTATCAACACTTGTCAAGTCTGATTCTAGTACCAGATAGCATCCAAGACTTCACGATTATGTCGGAAAGTCGGACAAAGAAGATAATGTATGATACCTCTCTAAAAATATTAGCCCCACAAATGGAAAATACTTAATAAACAATCAAAGAATGTAAAAGTAGAACATAGAAACTGAAAGAGTATAATTCCAAGTCAATTTGTTTGTTAGGTACTTCACATAGTCAAACAGTAGTATTTACTGGATGACATCATACTCATATGGAAGAAAGACTGTTTCTACAATTCTATTCCTCCCTTCTTCACTTGCCGTGCGAGTAGTACAATCTTACAAATATCTGGAACATGTGTTGAGCCATTCCGAATGGGTGCGTTCGATGTTGATGCTGTTAATTTAATTGACCCTTGACCTAATAATCGTCCATCAATTTCGATAAACCACATTACTGTGCCTAGTGGACTTTATAGGATATCTCAGCCTACAAAGCCTTTTTCCCAATGAATTTGTAGGTTTAAATGCCAACCTAAACCTAGTTCTGCTACGAATCCTGTGTACACTTTTTAGGTATCTTTCTTATGCGGTAAAGTCGTGGAGTTTTCGAATTCGCGTGTTGCCACTATTAGCATGTATATTACCTGTGCCTGCGTTACCTTTTTCTTACAATTTCCAATACATTTCCAGATCATTTTGAGTGATGAGATTTCTTCGAAGTGGCTCATTTCCTGTAGCAGATTTTAAGTTTGTTTAAACATTTCGCTCTAATAGAACACTTCACGAAACCTATCTTAACTGATATGCGATGAGATGAAGTCTAAGTATCGATTCGAATGCGTAGGGTTCCTATATACACTATTATCTCCTTTCTGTTCTGCAACTCAGTACAGCCAGTTCTCTATCTTTACTTCAATTCATAAATAAACTGGATTACATCCACAACTGAATTAATCTGTCAAAAGCATATTCATACGCTCTGAATTCAACACTATACACGTGTCATCTACCTATATTCACCATATTTTAGGAGCACGCATAAATCTCCTATAAGAATTATAGTAGGCATTATCGTTCCCACGGTGCCACTATCCTATGTTTTAAAAGGACAAACTGAGCATAAGATTTAGTGCAAATAATGATCTAGATACTTACGGTCTTGTCACTTACCTGAACGAAACAGAAATGGATGAATATATGGCGGTTCTTCAGGTCGACCAGCGTACGATTTTGCGTCTAAATCATATGCACTGAATAAATTAAATCGACTAGATGTTGTATTAAATAATTTGAGTGAAAATTATTTCCCGGACATGGAGATTCTATGCACAGTACAAATTCTTCCCGATCACCTGCTGAGGCTCCATATAAGATTAGACCAAAACAATAATCTTTTCTAAGAAAAGAGGGAAGATAGTAAAAAAGTACACTTGTACTCTAAATAAGAAAAAGAGCATCAGTTAAGAAACAAAAGCTAAAAAATTGTAATACATGATATCAAAATTTTCATTTAAAACCAATAAACTTTACAACTGCTATGTAGAACCGTCATAGCAACCGGTTAGGTTTTACTCATAAGCGATGAGTATGATTTTAGGAGAACAAGTTTCAAAAGTATTCTAAACTATATTGCAAGTTATATTCAACCACTTGAGTAAGACATACACATTCGCTCACATTTAAAGTAGCAACTGCCAGCTAGGCATATACACATATCCTCGTAACCAAGTGCGGACTCGTACACTACACAAACAATGGCACCTATAGAGTTGAGTGCCTAAACCGATAGAACCCTACTTGTCATACTTAAACAGATAACTGGACGATACTGCTGTATTGATAAAGTCTATTATGAAAGTGCACTATTTCACACTGAACATTTGAAGTTTATTTATGAACGACTCTCAGAGCATATTTGAATTGAGTTACCAAGGTCAAATACAATAAGAATATAACAGCGCAACTAACCGACTTTGACATAACCTAACATTTCAACAGAAGCAATATACTTAGCGATGGCAGCGGGTGTTGGGGACCCACAGACTCTAACTCCCCTTATCCTGATCAGGTGTTTCAGGCTGGATACATTTATTAGTCTTAATATTTACTGCAACTTTAGATTATGCAGCTGAAAAAAAAAGCAATAAAATAAAGTATGTACATTCCGATCTGTTAAACTTGGTATCTTCACTTTGTTGAAACTCAAGAAACGTTACTTAAGATACACATCAGTTACAACAAAGTCTGAAAATGTAAAAGAACAGAGGCAGCTTGGAAATGTTTCACTAATAATTCATATTTCTGCTGTAAGGGTAGCTACTGTCTGGGCAAGTGTACTGCATTGAAGTCTATCTAGATTACTTGTACACTCGGCTGGTAGTCGACTATGGTGGATGAAATCAAAAGAACAAACTGCAATTCAACTGGATGTAAATATTTGAAATAATATTGAGATTAGCTAAACAGCCGAAGACGAAGAAAACAAATCAGAAACACCAGCAAATAGAGACACTGAAATAAAAATGAACTAAAAAGCACCAATAAGTAGTAGGTGGTGGTTTTCCTAGTTTTTAATGAAGACACAAAAGGAAATTTCAAGTAGGTATGGTATCTTACCGATGTTTAGCAACTGATCTGTTTTCAACTGCACTTTTCTCCTTAAAGTATATACCATAAAGACACCCATCGAAGTTACTACAAAACACTAGACCACCTGAACTGTTATACGGACGTAAACAGGCCTTCAAGTGGTTGACCACCTATCATCTCTAAATTATTCTTATAAACCGCTGTAGAACTATTCAAGTGGAGTTTAATTTTCTTCTTAATATTAGGGCCGATGACACTGATTTTAGCACCCACATTAAAAAGAAGTTCAACTAGCTGTTTGTTGACTGCTTTGCCACTTACTGAGTACTGAGAGGTTACTCGGGAGTTAAAATAAGGGTTGTAATTAGGTTTTATGGTGGGCAAACTAACACTATAGCATATCCCAGTGGGAACCTCTTGTCTGTAGCTTCGTAGCTTATAGGAAATGCAACCACACTGAAAATCTCTCCAAATTAGAAAAAATTGCAGGACGAAAATATGAAAAATAATTCCCTTCGATTCAGTCAAAAATATGATCAAAATTCTGTATAAGCCTATCTACATTGAGCAAAATCTTTCCAATAATTCAAAGCTTCCTAGAACGACCACCTTGCGATTTCGTTGGCAACTTCAAATTCCTTTGATGGTCGCTCAAGGACGGCGTGATTGTATAGTTCCATCAACATGGTCGATGTAAAATTATCATATGATTTTCAAATAACGAGTGTTCATTCACGGTGTATGAGGTTATCAGATAGTCAACAAATTTCTACCTATAAAACTAAGACTGCACCTTGGACAGCTCTAACATATCCCTTACGAAATAATGTGAAGCTATTGCATGATAGCAACAGTACAGTTGTGATGCTTTATCGTTTTCTTCTACCCCTTTTAACCTTTATGAATATTTCATCTTCGTGAGGCAAAACTATAACGTTATCACTTTTACATCCTCCTTTGACTGAACGCCCATGTCGTCATAAGTCTGTGAATCTCGCATTTTTTGAGTCGTTAGTGATAATTCTGGTTACTATCATGGGATGTTTTGTCAGACTGCGCTAGATACATATGTGTTGAAGACTTTCTATTTTCTCGTCTAAAATAAAAAAGGAGTTCTAATGTTCAATAAATGATTTTTTAACTTAATTCGGTACGTATGGTTCAGTATTCTCAACTGGAATTTCACCATATGATTCAACTGAGTTAAGTCAAGTCAACTGAGCTTCCATCTCTGCAGGTAGTTAACTTTGTAGTTCAGTTTAGTGAACATCAGATACACTACTGCATAGTGATTCAGTAATTTTAGGGCGCAGCTCAGACATTGATCGGACCTAGAAGATTTGATGACTTCTATACATCAACTACTGAGAAAGCTTTTTTGACATTGGTCGCATGTTCTGTATCCCCTGGATGTTTCGCAAGTAAGCTTGTAGATGCTGTTTCCTTTTCAAATGGGAATTCCTGAGAATGTGACACAAAAGCTTTAGAAAAACCCCTCTTTTAGTGGTCGTGAGATATACTTGCTTTCACCAAGTATATGCAGATATGTGGATAACTGACCGGGTTTGCAAGCAGGTAGTGTTGTATACTGTGGGTCAGTACACCTGTAGAGAAGTACAAACGTTTACACCCTTTTGATTATTTTTTCAGTCCCAATGGAAATCTTTTTCTCTTTAAAAGAAAGTAGAGTGGAAATTATTTTTTCAGTGCTTTATATTTCAGTATTCACCACTGATAATCTTCCATAGAGTTCTCAAGTATCCATTCTTCCTCAGATAAGTCCCAACAATAAAACCTTCTTGTACTGGTTAATCGCTATGATGAAGACTGTTCTCATCAGACCACATTTATGACGTATGGGGAAGAAAATATCGTGGTTTAGGTATTGTTTCGTCCATTTATTTTTCTTCTGTATGATATTTCTACCCGTAAAATTACTTCGTTTAATATTAAGATCTAAGAATTCAAATATGTTCCTATTACATCATCATCATCATTATTATTATCAACATAGGACCAGGCATTACTGCGTAACGGTTCGAGTTGCCACACCTCATATCAGCACATCAAGTAAAAAGGTAGTGAGGTGAAGGATGAAGATAAGTGAATGCAGTCAAAAGAAATATAAAGTACGAGAGTAAGGGAAAGAGGAGCGACAAAATGGTGAGATTCGGTATAGTGTAGTTAAAATGAGGATAATGTGTGTATACATCTGCGCCACTGACATCGGTTCTGAGCCATATCACCTAGAGTCAGGCTCCAACCACTGGTTCCTCTCGTCCCGTGGACCCCAACTAGTCAGTCTGCATCGTCCTACATGGCTTAAACCAACAGTCAGAGACTTTATACACTGGTGCCATGTTTCAGTCTGGCCACCTCGGGCCTTTTTCCAGCCTGGACCCACCTCAGCCAACATTGTGTGACTAGGCATACGTAGTACGTGTCCCAACCATCTCAGTCGATGAAGGTTCACAACCTCGTCAACTGACTCACCTCTTCTCCCTAAAACTCTACACCTAACTTCTGCATTGCTCATGTGGTGACACCACGGAATACGTCCTATACTACAAAGGCAACAGTAGTCAAACACCTGAAGCCTTTTTGTATCCTCCACTTTCAGTGGCCGTGTTTCACAGCCATATAGTAGAACAGAGCAGACTGCTGTGCAGTACACGCGACCCTTAATAGACAAACGAATATCACGGCGGCGCCATGGGTGGCGCAAATTGACAAAAGCCAATCGAGCCTTTTGTATCCGTGCAGAAATCTCATCGGCAACTAACCCACCAGGGTTGATCCTACTTCCCAGGTAAGTGAAGTGGTCAACACACTCAACCACTTCATTCTCTATTGTTAGCCATGGTGGGGCACCGTCGAAGACCAGTCCTGGAGCAAAAATTTGCATTTGGGTGGTGAAAATCGCATCCCAAACATTCTCAAATTCCCACTCAAAGTGTTCAGAAGACTCTGCATCTTGTCAGCGTCTTCACCTAACAGGACTGGCTACGCCACCTGCATATTCTAGATCTAAAGAAAATTCACCTGTGACTAGGTCAACGTCTGTGTAATTAGGTGACGAGAGGGAAACCTCCATAAGAATATCTATGATAAAATTAAATAAGAATGAGGATAGTGGGCATCCTTGACGGACACATAGTGAAGTCAATACTTGGGTGAGTATAGTTGAACTTGTGAAATGCGTCTGAAGTATGATCCATGCATTTACATGTTACAAAGGCATCATTAATGAACTTGGAGTAATAAATTACCTTCCTAATTTCGATTTGGATTGAGTGTTTGAGATTAGCTATGAAGACATCAGCTAAAACGTACCAAATAATGGTTTAATTGTCAATCCTGTAGTTTGTCTTTGTAACTGTTTGTTGATCTGAAATTGAACACCTTTTGTGAAGGGAAACAGTAATCGTTTCATTTCACTTCAGATAAAAAAAAACAACTTAAGCCGTACGTAAATCCAGTTTGCACTTAACGGTGTAGCTATGACCAATGAACTGACAAAATATGATACTATCAATTTACCTCATATGTTCACATAAACCAGTTCTCCGGAAAACCGACAGACATACAAGAAATGAATGCAATAGTTGCAGCCGAAAACCGAACTAGCAAAACGTTGAATAGCTTCTTAAAGATGAAAGTAACTGATAAACGACGTGTACAAAATCAAAAACCAATAGGTTAGCGTCTGCCAATTGTGTGTATTCAAAAGAGGGACTGTACATATAGTCTCTCTAATTTGCGTCGAGTAAATTTACTCATACACTCAATATCAAAAATAATCTTTTGAATAACTTGACAATTGAAACTAACCTAGAGAAAGTTGACAGTGTGAAACCTAATAGATGCATCTCAATTTTTTCGAGAACTGACTGACAAAGTCAGTGTTAATGAAATAATATTAGTTGAAACGGAACGATGATTGAAACTGAGAAAAAACCTAAGCCAAGATAAGATTCGAACCAGAGACTTCAAAAGTGATGACTCGATGATCAACCAAATAAGCAAAATCCGACTACTGACTAGTTGACTATGAGTCAGGTCGATAGTTTGCAAATTGTTTACTCGAATCCTTAGAAAAACAGCAGCACCAAATAGATACAACTGAATCTGGTAGCTGTTTGTGTACCAAGGATAAGAGTCACACTTACTGTCTGAAAGCTTATGACACTCCTCGGTGGTGCAGACCGAAGCAGATGGAGCAAAAGCGACCATAACTTAAATAATGAAAATACAAATAATTTAGCTCAAACACTTACTCATACACAGAACGATGAATAGGAAAAAAATCACACTTGGAAAGATCAAATCTTTCCGGCTTCCGTTTCTCTCCATCGACTAGTGTTAGGATACTTTGTTTTCTATCTAACTGTGCATAACATGATTTCCATTTTTTCCTTTGTTGCAACCCTTGATAAAGAAGACAATAAAATAAAACATTATCACTCTCAATACACTTAAGATAACCAACTGAAAATTAGTAAACCAACAAGTATGCATCACATATGTGCTAAAAGAGATTTTAATGTCAAACATTGTGTACGAAAGCAATGCCCGCAGTGTCTGCTTAACAAAGCGGAGGCTATCGCAATAAGATTGATCAAACCTGAATTTTGCACTCGGAAAGAACAGATTCAAAGTTATCCCTCCCTTGGCCTTCAATAACCTGAAGGTTACTATTATCCTCCATGTTTGTTGTCTTTTCTTTTAACGTCCATTTTTCATCCGTATATATGTCATCCTAATATTAAGAAATTGATAAGTGAGTCTATACATCACCAGATCTGTGAACTAGAGGACTCCAGTTCAAATCCTGACCTGATCTAGGTTTTCTTTCAACCACAATCTCCGCTCAGTTAAACAGGCTTCGATTCAAAACAGAAGTAAGACATTTAACTACAACTGACTAACTAACTTTGAGGTTGAATTTATGATGGATAGGTATGTGCCCCTCTCCTTTTCGGAATCCAAGAGAAATGAGTGTTTTTAGCAATTCTGAATGCTCCGAGTAACAAGCATTAATCGTCGCTTTTATCACTGAACCGACTCGTCAAAATACTGACATTCTAAACCTCAGCCAAATGATGATCAAGTTAAACATAAGCCTACTGTCATGCGCTACCACCATTTTGTAGAACAACTGGTTAGATATGACGTCTTATTAGGGCATGTAACCAATGCGATTAAACTGCCAATATGGAATAAGTAGTAAAGTAATAATGTAGCATAACCTGACACAGGTTTACGTACTAGACTATAAGAAACACTAGTTGCGTGACTTGCATACAGGATCCCAGTTAAATACCTCTAATAATTTCTTCCCCAGTCAACTTAAGAAGTATATTCACAGTGGGCTTATTCAATGACTCTGTGTCATCAACAACAGACCTTCCTGCGTTGATGTTAGACTAAATACTACAGCCAATAGTGTACTAGTCTACTAGATCTCCATCAATAATCGTCTGTGTGTTGCTACGCTAGAAGGCTTGACTAACAAAGGTAAAAATGTCTTTTCGTCATCTCTGCCTATGCCCCGACTGAATACAGCCCACATGCAGTCAATGACCTTCTCCACTAAATGCATTGAACGTATATCGTAGGGTTGGGGACTTGAATGCATAGCTCGAACAGAAGAAGGTTATCTACGTGACCAGTTGGGATTATTAGGTTGGACTACGGATAATGGGTAATGTCTTCAGAAGCTTTGTGCAGAATACAACTCATTTCCAGCCCGCACCTACTTCCGTAATGGCCATAGCCGTATTGCTTCTTGGTCTCCTCTCTATGCCACTAAACCTGCACTCAAATAGACCCTAATGAGATTAGCCACCCACTGTGTGGATAGCTGCTCCCCCTTGAGCACCTACCTGAACTCTAATCATGCTTTAGTGCGCTTATTTAATCATGCGCTTTGGTAGTCATCAAAATCGTAGTCTAAAAAGGGTCGATACAACCAAACTGGATCCACCTAATGTTAAAACTAAGTACCAAAACGAGCTACATTCAGGGTTAACTATTGAACCTCCAGAAAGTATAGATGAGCATAGGTTGCACTTACAGAAAGCCGTGATAACGGCGAGTAAAGCTATTTGTGACTTTGAATAACGCCTATCCAGTAAACACTGGGTCTCTGAGAGCTTCTTGCAACTTTTTAACGCTTTTCGACGAATCCTAGCAGGTGGTGAGTACAATGAGGTGTGGTGTAAGTCCCTTATGCGGCAAACCAAACAGCATTATCGTACGGACTGCGAGGGAGAAAAAGCTTCTATGTCTGGCAACAGTTGGAAGCTGTCCTAGCCTACCCAAACCCACCGGCAAGAAGGTTTATGTGAGTAAGACGGCCTGTGAGATAGATGATACACCGGTCACCATCTTACAGATACGTGGAGCGTTGGGCGAAACACTTCTAAAAGCAGCTCAGTTGGCCCACCGCCCCAGTAACCTTAATGTCTTCAGTTACATATTAAATTATAACCGATCCAATTAACTAAGCAGAAGTCTATAAGGAACTCCAAGTTGTAAAGCAGCAAAAGGCACCTAGTCAGGATAACCTACTGTAGACATTTTAAGAGTGGAGGTTAAACTGCAGTCAAAGGAAAGGACTACATTGTTTAAGAGGGCGTGGTAGATTGAGAATGTTTCATCACTCTAGAACGAAAACCTTTTTGTACGAATCATTATAAAGGGTCTACGAAATGCGTCTGATAATCACCACAGTACTAGTCTGTTATCAGTGGCGTCTAAAATATAGACTGCTATCGTGATTCGCAGTCTATGTAAAACGCATGAGAAACTGAGGAGAACACCAAATTCCTTTCAAGCCTTGGATGCATTGAACACGTAGCCACATAGTAAGCTATGGAAAACGACCATTGAAGGCGAGGTCACGAGTAGCTCACATGTTGCTTGCTTCTATACCACAATTCCTGAAGGCGAATGCGTAAAAAGATTAAAGTAAATAAAACAGAGAACTGAAATTAGTCCGGTAAGCAGTTCTGAGCAGAATGCAAAACTATGATCTCGCACGTAGTAGTACAGTCCCATTTTTCATCTTGGTATCTTTTACCATATTACGCTAATTTGAGATGTGGCAATCTGGACAGTTACACAGCAATGCCAGGCTCTATATCGTTATTCATTGATTGACTGAAAGTCGACATTGTGCTGGGAAATATGAATATTAGTGAGTCGCTATATGTGTCATGAACATCAGATAATCGCAGGTAGACACAATGCACCATATGTCTCCAAAACACATTTGATCTTCTCTTTGTTTCTCATAATGGCAGGTGACTTTAACCCTCAAGTAGGGAAGATCAGCCAATCACAGAGACATCTTGGGCGTATTTACGGAATCCCATAAAAACAAATAAACAACGGTGATCGTCTCTTGCAATTTTGTCCCGACAACCACTTGTTTCTGGACAGCACTAAATTTAGGCATAGGAAGAGACAATGTAGCACACGGTAACCGCCGACATCAAACCAGCGCTGGGCACAGATAGATTACGTTGTTATAAACCATCGCTGGAGAGGATCGGTGGGAGACTGCCGCTCGTTTTGAAATACCAGTTTAGACTCCGACCTTGCGTTGGTATGCACACGTGCGTATCTACGCCTTACTAATCACAGGAATCAGCCGACAGTATTCTCAATTGGAAAATGAAGATACCAAGTACGTATTTAGGAAGGAGACAATAGAGCAGTCATTTGAACGTGGCAGCAGCGTTAATCCTAAGAAAACCTGGCATGATATCAACTCTGCTGTAGAAACAGACGTAAAGACAGTCGGTAACCCCACACACGATTGCAAGTAAATAATGCTAATCGGAGATCTCTACTAGAAATCATGTAGCCATGTCAGGGGCTTATAGAGAGTTGTCGCGAGAATTGACGACAAATAGTGGAGTACACCACTGATCCCCACTGTCACCATTCCTATTTAACTTCCCTATAGACCTACTAATGGATATAACCTTACGTACGTCGGACTTCACAGGGGTTCACCTACTCCCCGGAGGTCACCTGGTTGACTTGGAGTACGCAGAATACATAGTCCTGCTATGTGGGGACGCTGACAAAATACAGGGTCTTTTGAATGTCTGCGGCGGAAATCTGAACAAGTTCGGCATGCATCTCGTGAACGCTTCAAATTTAAGATGATGCTCTTCAAATGGTCTGCAACCACTCCTAGTTTAATCATAGGGAATGAAGTGGTTGAATATGTCGACCACTTCACTTACTTGCAGTCACATTAGCCTGAATGGACTGACTGACCGATATAGATGGACTGCATGGCATTTGCCAACTTGCGTCATCTGTGGCGCCTACTGGCAAGATATCCGACTACCTATGAAAGGACGAGTATACTGCGCCACAATTCGTTCTGTCGTATTAAAGTGCTATGAGACATGGTCGTTAAAAGTGAGAGAAATGAAGCGATTACAGGGTTTTGATAACAGGTGTCTTCGTAGCATTGTTCGTACTCGTACTGTGTGAGCAATGTTGAGGTCAGGTGAAGATAGACAATTGATGAGTTTGTGAACTTTAGTCCACTGAGATGACTTGGACAGATGCTGCACATGACCAGCCATCGCCTACCTCGATGTGCTTTGCTGGAAGTTAGATAAGTTGGAGGAGCGTTCAGAGTCGCCAGATCAAGACGTGGTACCAGTTCATCAAGTCTGTTACTAGCGGTCTGAGATGTGTGGGAGATGTCAACTGTCAGAGTGGGGTTCCCAGGACGAAAGGAATCATTGGTTGAGAACTACCTGACATGGCTGAAAATTGGTCACAGGGGTGCGCATGTATTCACTCTTTGATGTCTTGAATATTCGCAATAACAGTTATTTCCAAACTGTTTATTGTCTCATACAACTTTGTCTAATTTGATAACACTTCTTCTATCCATCTGTTCTTTGCATACTACCGTCAAGTGTGGAAACGAGGTAATACATCTGTAAGCAAGGTTCTACGTTGATTTTGTATATCTGTCTATAAAATACATGAGTTGTTCGCATGTGCATAATGTGTACACAAAAATTAGGATGCCTTTTGCGTAAAAAATATTTACTTACAAATAGATAGTTCCCCGTGAATTTCAGTCACTGTTTGATGTGAAGTTGGTGGCTGACGTGCGTAAAACATATCCATATAGATGGTAGAAGATGGAGGATGTATTTGAGGCTTGGAAAAATAAAAATAAACACAACAATTCCATGGGAGTGTGCATTTCAGAAATTAAAAAAATAACGATGTTATAAAATAAGTTTTCACTTATGATTAACAATATTGAAGTAATTATTCACTACAGGAACATAGATTCCTAGTGTGAATGTTATCGCAAATTTTCTACATTGCGACGCAAAATGGGTATTTCAGATGCGTAGCTCAATCGGTTATAACAACTATCTAGTGACTGATTGACATCAGGTCCATTTATCAACATCACTGAGCAAAGGTTAACGCATGAATACCAAATTGCAACAACTTAATGGGAATGTTCTCATGGCTAATTGTCTTGCACAGAATAATATACTACTGCTTAATGAAATGAGTAGTTAGATATCACTAACGATGTTCATCTGTATACTTAGATAATCGGATCAGAGTGGTTTAAGCACTGAACAGGTATTTAACTTGTTTTGAAGTCAGGTTAATCAATCATATTCAGCTCACAGAACAATTTATTTCTCTAGATGAAGTGAATCTAGCCAACCGACTTGTATGAGCCAATAAACCATAAAAATGGATGACTAGTTTGCAAACTATTTAGAGATCGCAGTTCAAGTTGTCATTTCTACAGGTTAGCTAGCGTGAATGATTCCGAAGTAATCTCTTTACTTATTAGTGACATATTTAACTAGCGCTTTTCATACTTCTGGATCAGGGACCACAATCTATGATCTCAGTTAGTGGTTTTGCATGGAAGTCCATTTAACCTCACAGTCAGTTGAAAAACTCAGTCACAAGTCATATCGATGTAGACCGCCCAATCTATAAGTGGCTTGCAAACTAATAATCAATTTTTACGGTATACAATTTGAGAGGGTAAATGAGAATGTTATGACAAAGTTATGCAACGTATATAGCATTATACGGTTAAAACTAGCCAGCAATCGTAGCGAAACCATATAATTGTTAATGTTGGAAATTCGAAAACAAGTACAAGTTAGTTTTGTTCCATAATGGACAATTGCGATACCAGTAAACTCGCATGAAAAGCATGAAAATGAACCTGTAAACCCCATCAAGTTTCGGGCATTCATAAAGAAGGATACATTCTTTGTAACCGAAATATTCATTTGTTTCTTGTAACCATTAAAGCTCATACATATGCGTGTCCACACTAACATGTGGATGAGATTCAAGCATGTGCTTTAGAAAGAGTTGGAATTTTTCAACGATGGCTTATAGTAACACGGTTTATGTGTAGACCGTTGGTTTGACTTTTCCAGACATCAAGCGAGATGAAGTTTTTCGGTATGTTTGAAGTTAATGAGAGTGGATAATCGAGTTGAAACTAAACTACTAGGTAGAAATCAAGCGCTCAGCATTTTTAAACGTCATGCAACTCTTGACAGTCATATTGTGCTATCGACAAAAATCTGTCTTCAACTGAAAATAGTTGCAACTTAAATCGATGGAATATTATGTGATGCTATTTTGTCTGTTAAAAGACACTACACGTAGGAATGAGTAAATCTGGTGGATTTAAGCGCAGTCCAATACCCCTATACGCAGAAAACATATGTCCACGCAGAAGTGAAGACTTTATCCCTATGATTACCATCACATTCTGCACAAAGTATTTTGAGGTTAAAATGTACACTTCACTAACCACTGTTGATTTACCACAGTATGACTGGTTAAGAAATTATCGGTGATTGCTTAAAATCACTCTTTTAGATTAAATGAATGATATGTAAACAGTGTGAAAAGAATCAGTTACCACTAGCCCTACTCATAATTAGGAAGTTATAGTGTACAACATATGACAAGATTGGTTTTAGAAAATATTTTAGGTGACATCCACTAACTTCTTTTGTGACTGCATGGTAGAATTAGTACTGGTAGCACATAGAATTGTTTTAAATTGCCAGGAGATCCTAAAACGAGCTAAGTAACGTGCGTATTTAGGGCGGCAGCACTCAAAAATCTGTTTGAGCATCAATTGCATTAATTCAGTTAACGGTCACTATAAGGATATTGATTCTGCTAACAAAACTTTGTGGTGTAATATGAAAAAAGGAGTACAGAACAGCTAACACTAAATGTATTCTATCGTTCAAGAAGAAAAACTCCATAGAAGAAAAGAATTTACAGCTAAACCTACAAGAATAATTCTTTAGAACCGCTTCTTCAACTGTGAAACAACATATAGTGTTGTTTCAACAAGAGGCACTACAATTAATGAGACCTTACATGCATAAAATATTACCTTTAATGATGAGAGGAATAAAACAGCAAGCTTTCAAAGACGAGACGTTGAAGAAAAAGCTTTTCCCCATACCATGACAATATCACTATGAGGTAAAATAGAACTCTATATAAATATACTTCATGACTTCATAAAAAACCCACCTTACGTTCTCGGTTGACAGGCTTGAAAACAGGTGGCGTTGTGTGAGTATTTGAATTATCAGACGAACTAGATTCATTTGACTGTACATGGTTTTCTGGTGTGGCGCCATTTGTAGAATGAATGATAGAATCAGCATCCATTTGAGATTCTCCAGCATCAGAAGCATTTAGAGTGTTAGACTCTTCAGAATGATAAAGGTCAGAATGGTGTGATTCAATCGCTGCTACTACAGCTTCAACACTAGGAAAAGTTGTATCACTATACAGTATTTTTGTAGTTGTTCGATAAAGAGGAAACTGAAAATTTATATTGGAGATAGAAGCTTCATTTGTCGGGGACTCCTTTGCATAGTGACTGCTCTCCCATTTTTTGTCTCCTGAAAATGTTTCATCTGATCTTCTACACACCTCTGATTTGGCATCATCAGAACCAAGAAAAGATGATTCTTCATTAAGTTCCTTTGCATGCGCATCCAAAGGACCACTATTTCTTCTTTCACAACTACTGTTTTGAATATTATTACTGGTCGGTGTCCCATCCTCTGGAGAAATAAGTTCTGACTGAACAACTAATTCAAGTCTACATTTACGCACTCGTATTCCATCATATAATAAGAGAGTATAGAGACCTGGACGTGAGTCACATGGTCGTAACAAATAACTGAATGCACCAGCTGGAATAAAAATATGACGAAAACAAATGAAAAAGTGGATGACTATGCAAGATCCTGATGGGAGCAAAAATAAAATTATCTGAAATCTTATCCTAAATAACTTCAGTTTCATGAAAATACCATTGGAACTGAGGCTAACTAACTTCCAGTCTCAAGCCCAAACCACACTCCACTGAAACTAACCTGGATAACCAAGTAGCATTATTGGTCTTTAAAAGGTGGTTTATACCATAGTTTATAGACTTGTGCCGAGTTGCTGAGCTTGACAAGCAGTCTCTACAGGGCCTTAGAAGCATTATTGTAGTCATCTAACATGGAGTTTACTGAGTTAATTAAGCATTCTGATAAACAAAAGCACAGTCAATATTGTGTATCTTCTGTTGCATTTTTCTTAAAATCATCCAAAAACATAATTCTATACAAACCCCCGTCCTTATGTACTTTACACGTTCTGATTCAATTCTTAAGATATTCAACTGAGTAACTGAAGAGGCTACCGAAGGAAAACCATTTTCCGACCACAATTCGTCACCGAGATCAGATAATACTATTGTTACTTTTAACACCGATAAGTGGCTCCTAGTTAAACATAAATTTGTCATTGGTTTGCTACTACTGAAAATTCGCTGATAAAAGTCGAAGTTGAACTGATCATGACAAGCAGAAAAATTGTTTTTTCAACACCCACGAAATTTGCTTAGCTTGGACTAAGAAATCAACCTTTAATGCTTTGATACATAGTGAAAAGGATTCATATCCACCGATACTGAGCCATGTCATCAAAGGAGTTTAACTATTGATCACTAATATTTTGATAACGCCAACCAAATAACCAACATCTCATTAGTAGTTTAGACACCAAACTTAGTTTGACTTTCTTAGAACCTGAACCTCCACTAAATGATATCACATTTTGGTGTAAGAGATTGTCCATTTGGATGACATGTCTTAGTTATCCTATTTGGTTTCTGTGCAAAACACAATCTACCAACTTGCTCTCCTTTCTTATATCTAGAATGTTAATCGCAGTGTGTTAACCGCTGAACGGTTTCAAAACTCGCAGATAGTGCTTACAAGACTTCTATGAAACAATATCTGTAAATTTGATACATTTTCAGTCTTCAACAATGACTTTCACTTGAAATGGGTTAAGGCACCCATTGGACTATGAGTTAACGCGTTTGATGCCGTAAAAATAATAACAGTAATTATAATTATGACAATAATAATAATGGTAATTACTGATAATACTAATGATAACAATAACAATAATAATTGTAATCGTAATCATAATTGCAATCACATTATTATCATCACTACTAGTGACAATAATAATGGTAATGCTAGTGGTAATAATAATACTAGCGATAGTAGTGATGATAATAATGACAATAATAACACTAGTGATGATGACAATCATAAATGATAATAGTAATAATAATAGTAATAGTGATAATGATGATGATAATAATGACAGCTAATAGTGATGACGATAATAACAATAAAAATATTATTGAGGAGAAGAACAACAACAATAGCAAAATGTTAAACAGCAACTGAACCCATGCTTATGTACTGTGAACGACATTCATGGTGAGGATTAATGAAGGTACATAGATCATTAGTCTAGGCAGCTGAATTCCGACTAGTGAGTTACTACTTAGAATCTTGCTCCATCTACCAAGGGTTATATGGTCAGATAGTATCACTAGCTCTTACACAACAAGTGTGACTCATTGTCTAGTGCTTGAAGATATATGTGGCTGCTTAGTTTGAGAAAATTAGCCACACAGACCTCGATGTGTGGGGATGGTTTTTCATATAGACACAAAATCAACTTCGTTGACTGTATATCAGTATAATCACATCATGATTTATATTTACTTTGTCGTCCAGCAAACACAGCCTGCGATATCTAAAGATGCAAGTAACAATAGATGGGTGACGAAGATCTTTTATAACATACGTGTAATACAAATATTTATCTACGTCATAAATATAAAATATTTGGTCTTGAAAGCGAGAATTTTCAGCAAAGTGCATAATTAACTAGTTATAAATGATGATGGCGGTGATTATCAGGCAGGTATTCGATTCATTTTTAAGCCAGAACAAGTATCGTTCAACGATAACATTAATTGGTACCATTAAAACTTCTTCAATTTTCATGTAATTCCTCAACAAGTGGTATGATCAAGGGTATTATTTTGTTCGAAATATTACCAAAACCAAATAACATCATTGTTTGGAAACATTCATTACAAATATATTTATAATAAACTGATTCTCTTAATAATCTACTAATTTTTTCATAAATATAATTAATTTTAATACCACATACTTGATTTACTACATTTGCTAAAGGAGATCTTCTTGGGAATAGAAGACAAATTTATAATGGTAAATCAGACAGTGAAACTGAATAGCTGTTGGAAGGGTCCATTAAAAAGCTGTCTATTTACTAGAAGAATTAATGAAATGTACAAAAAGAAGTTGGAAGGTGAATACAGCTAACATTTTCTAGAAGTGGGAAACCAGTATCATGGATTACGTACGCATAACTCGATAAACTACTGACAGCAGATAAGAGGGAAGAGTGAGTAGAAATTAAAATGAAGAGTAGGAGTTTGAAAAGGATTCATGAAGAGAACAAAGATTGGATTAGCTGTTATTACGTAACAAAATATTAGAAAAAATCTGTGCGGGTACTCACTATCCAGTAGAATGTTTCTCAACGGTGAGTTTTTTCAACAAGTACTCAATTTCAGTAGCTCTAAAGAGCACTTTAGTAACTGCTGAAATAACCAATCAGTTTTTCTATTCTCACTGGAAAAGTAGTTTTTTTATACAAAATAGAAACCTAATCAGCTGTTTCAGTAGTTGTTGAGATGACCTTTAGAGGTACTTTTCAATTGTACTGTATCTGATTTCATAAAGTCAACTTATTCTCTATCAACATCAAAACTCCATAAGGCAAATTACACTTATATTAAGATTGTTGTAGGTTGCAAGCAGCTTAGGGCAGTCCTCGAAACAAAAAGGCTTCACATTATTCGGCTTCAATAGTAGTTGTTGCCTTATTTAAATTTATAAAAGGGATTGGATTGCATATTTCAGAAAATATTTGATCACTTATGTCAGTGAGATATTGAGTGGATGAGGTTGAATTAAGAAATGACTGGTTTAAAAAGTGCATTGAAGTTGTTTTTGCAGACCACCCCAAAGAGGGATGTCGGCTACCATACTACTAAGACAAAAGATATCGCTGGGAGATCAAACCGAACACGGTGCGAAATCAGTACGCAACTGACATTTTTTAGGTAACAGTCCTCAAGTTAACAGCTAACACCAAGATTTGACGACTTCAGGCAATAAGGTTAGAGATCTATCCCCTTATTGCATTCCCTGCACTACGTTGTTCCAAAGCGTAGTGAACTGAGCCGACGAAACATAGTTCCAAGTTTTACGTGACCTGGGGTCATATAGCTTTATACTTATCAGGTTAAGCCATACACAACGTAATGTTTTAGATACAAAACAGTAGAATTCCCTTGAGACATTTTTTATCACCACGCATCACCCCTTACAAATTATGGTGCACTAAGCTCAGTTCGAAGCTGTTTTCGCCACTAAAGTGCTATCAATCTATTTCGAGAAGTTGACGATACTGTGACTAAATAAAGATACTTGAAGTTAACCAAACAAGGAACACATCATTTCGACTAGGACCGCCAGAAGATAAAAACTTTGGAACAAATCAGAACTTTATCAAAGAAACCCGACGAATCAAGCCACTCACAAATGCTGTGACTACATGTGTGTTGGTAGGAACTAACAAGTGTATTACAGTGCAAACAGATGGGTGAGAACTTAACCACTAAATCAGGTTCTCTAGATCGATTTCATAGAAGTTGAATACTCCATCGGACAATTGAGACAGAAAACCGAATAAATGAAGTTCACTTACAAAAAAATACGATCTAATGTGCTGAGGAAAGTCAACAAGACAGTACACAAATGTTATACAGAATCTAACCTTTTTAAGCAGTTCTTTCGGATGAGGGGTTGAATCGGGATGGAAGAATTCCAAACGTTCAATAATTTCTGGGTATTCTTTCTAATAATTTAAAAGTTAACCAATAAACCAATAAATAAACGTCATGAGGAAGGACATGAAAAAAAGAAACAGAATCTGACATGAAAGTAGACTGAGGTTTGGATATACTAATACTGACAGCTAATCAGGTATTCATTCAGCATACTTTTATCGAATATAGTAGCGACAAACGATCTGCCTGCGGAATCACAATGACACTACTGTAATTCGCACATCCACATAAACTCATTATGAAACGTCATTGATTGCAGTTTAAAGGGAATGGCGAAATCTATCAACTTCACCGCGGATCTTGTAGGCTATCAGAAACAATGAAGATAGGTGTTTGCACACATCCACCAGGGTTTTCAAGAGGTAGATAAAACTCTGAGGGACGGAACATCCCCGACCACATTCCTGTGTTACAAATTAAATGAAACAATTCGCTTGCAGTTAATGTGAGTGAAACTCAGTCTGGTGCTTTTGAGTTAATATTATTTACAAGTTTCGCAGTGGGTATTGCAAAATAGAAGCCAAAGTATTAAGATGCCACCTACTGAATGAAGAATTTCATTTGAAGCTCTTCTCCCTTGGATGAGTTGGTACTGAAAGATTACAGAAAATAGGGTAATGATCAATAATACTGGAAGTATATGTCAACTGAACTACTTTCTGAAATGTTTCATCTAGTGTTTCACGCATCTTTATAAATTACTATTTCAAGTGCAGTTGCAAACATTCTGAGAATGACTCCACCAACTGCTATATGTAGCTGTTGTCTCCATTTCTACGTAGATTCTGACCACCAGCTCCCACGATTCGAGATTAGACCATGTGGGGCTTTTGCTGTCAAAGACTAACAAACATTACATATGATGTCGAAATGATCTACAAGGGGTCAAAAAATTGTAAAGAAGCTATAGGAAAAGTTTGTGATAAGAATACTGACAGATTTTCTGAAAAGAGAACCGGTTTCATACAAACACACTTCGTACTTAGCTGAGTGAAGTACGATCGTTATTTGTTTGTCGTAGGTGGATGAGGTATCCTTGAGAACGTGCAAAAACTTTTGGGGATTTCAATATTCCCATTGAACAAATTTGTTTTCAATGATATCGTCCTCTACAACTGTACAATTGCATTTAAATATCAAGGTGGTATTCATCACAAAATGATATCGGCTAGAGAACCATTGAAAACCTAAGAGCACTGGACAGTTGTTTCGTCCTAGTATGGGGACTCCTTAGGAGTGTGCACCCATGAGCCTGCCGAATACTGAACCTGACACCACAATTCCGCAGCGAGTATGTTACGGCTGTCCAGTGCTTCCAGGTTTTCAATGGCTCTCTAACTGATGTCAGTCCATGATGAATACTACCTTGGAATCAATAAATCCTCGCAGTTAAACATGGTTAGTGTACATGAAAACGTCAATACTTGTTAGTAGTTTATGACCATAAAAATAATATACGATTGGAAATTACGTAAGAAATAGAAGGGTATTTATCAACGCGACTAAATGGGAATCTAAATCAAGAAGTAAAGAATTCATAGCAAAACTGACTAAACAGTTATCAGTGAGCAAAGGAATGAGAAATTTTTAACTGAGCTAAACGAAAATCGTTTACGTACAGAGGATGCGATCGACGAAAAATTTATTCGCTGAAATTAATAGGAATTTAAAAAAAGGTTATGATGAGAAAACAGTTGCAAGTGATTCCACTCACGGTTCAATCTGCTAACACCAAGTTTTCGTAGACTATTTAAGCCGCTTTTCTGTGATTTGGAAACGCAGCATACATACAAAAATTACCACCTAATATTAAGATATATTATGAGTATTAATGACAAATGTCACTTATCCGGTGCACATCATTATCTCCCCGTTGAAGTTCGTGAAGATGTAGATATGAGATGTTGAAAAAGCATAGATTCTCTAATTAATTACATATTACTTTCAGACCACTGTAGACTGATGTTAATTCTAGTAAGACACTTTCAGCTCCAAAGCCTAGTATGATACTCACATACCGATAAAATCAAACGACGGTACCACAGACTCCCTTATTAAACATTACGAATAAATTTCAAAGTCACAGGGAGAGAACACACTGGCAACACTACGCTGAAATCTGGAGTACGAACCTGCGAAATAGAGGACTCATCAATCGTGGGGTGTGCAGTTAATTGGACTAAACGTCCATGTTAATTCATCTTTACTAGGTTGTGAACGTTGACAAAAGGACACTTAAATGACACAAATGGATTCAGCATAGCTGTGTCACAACTTAAATTGAAGGACAGCTTTAGGTTTAAAAAAGCCTATTAGTAACTCGAAACAATGGGTAAAAACCAGCTGAAATAAGAGAAATATACAAAGTAGTGTGAACCATATGAAATGTGAATACAAAATGAGTTCTTTCCAATTTACATCCCCCATAAACTGTGAAAATAGTATTACTGCCCAAAGCTATCAAACCAAAGCAGGTAGTTAACTCAAGGGACTTCTCGCATCTTCCATTTTAGTTAAATACATGAAACAGTATCAGCAGTTTGGCTCTCATAATAGCCCTTGTCCCATACAGTTGCAAACCACTTGCTTCATTGAGATCTCGAAACAATGCCGAACTAAGGTATTCAACACCACTAACTGGATATGAAATGTCGCTTATTACAGTTTGGGAACGCGAACCACATTTTTTTATCCCCCACATTTATCAAGAAAAACCTCACCTCAACGCAGGATTTGGGCAAATAACCTGAATGTCGAGATTTCAAAGAAGTAGCTAGTACCCAATCTGAGTTTGGATCTTCATGTACCAATAGGAAACGATCATCAACAGCACATCTGAAAGTGGAAAAAAAGAAACCATCGCAATGTCTTATGACGAAACATGTACACATAACTCGCTCACTCCATTTAGTTCCGTTCGAGAAGTTCAGTAATACAACTATTCCATACAGAACAATCTTAATTAGTGGCTTGCAGATATACACCTGATACATATTTCATTTTTAAAAGGGTTAAGTGAAACAGGTTTCAAGCAGATATCTTTTAAAGTATGCATAAGATATCATTGGATCAGCACTCACACATGAGCCAAAGTCTCATTTCGGCAAACTAAATAAAATGCTGACGGCCTGTTCGTCAGTTTAACATATTGCAATCTGTACTTTGCGTCTCATGTAATAAAAATATTTTTTTACAAGATTATATCTGCAAGTAAGTGTGGAGCTGTTGCTCACCGATCTAGGTAGTTCACTTTGAAACTATAGGTTCAAATCCATTTAACGAGGTTGGGGCAATCAGACAATATCATCGTCAGTCCTCATACAATATGAGTCATCATAACTAAAAGCACGAACCTTCACGTGGTTACTGAGTTCCAGTGTCATGTATGTAGCATGAAGTATAAAATAGTGCTTTTTCTCTGCATAGCTTACTAAACAAATAAACATTACATAAATCAGTGTACTCTAGACAGTTTAATGATGGCTGACAAATTTTATGTTCACCATGAAATTTGAACGACATATCCTAAGAAGTGGTAACATACGACTCCAAATGTTTTATTACTAGCCATTGGTAAGAAAAGTAAATTCAACTTACAGTCAAAATGGATTAATAAACGATTGTGATAGCTAGTTACTGAAGCAAGAACAAATAGTTTGCGGGATAAAATGAATCCATTTTATATCTCATAAGCTGTTAACAGGCTAAAGCTGGAACGAACGACTAACAAGTAATAACTATAAACTATACTTCATATACGAGTGTTGGAAACCCATGAATAACAGGAAGAAGCAGCAGAAATAAAAACTATGAGTACTAGTCACAAACATTGATTGGTTATACCAGATGAGACAGAAAACTTTGTTGTTGTAAATAAGAAAGACAACTATACAGGAATGCAGAAATGAAATTTTTAAATGAGATTACGTGATTACATGAACATATAAAAAAACCGATAAACTGACAGTGATTAAAAATGAGTAAGGTTTAAAAGGGGAATTATGCAAAGAAACCAATATACATTTGATCAAGTTAGGTGTAGTGTAAATATTTTTTCCCCATGTACTTACGTAATTTAACGGTTATTTAATAATTTTCTTTCTCGAATCACTGGACAGCTGCTCCGTCCTAGTATGTGACTCCTCGGAAGTGCATATCAATGACCCCGCCAGATATCGAACTCAGGACTCATATTAGGACAAAATAGCTGTCCAGTGCTCTCAGAGAGTCAATATTCCTCAAACTATCAGTCCGTAATAAATCACAACTTGAAATCAATAAATAAAAAATCCACATAAACCTCCAAATTGAATTCCCTTTCTTCTACACTCATGTTTGGTTCTCTCCTCCTTACAATGACAAAAGTTTTTGTCTGATTAGATATAGGTTGCTACTAATTGACATTTCTAGGCTGTTAGCAGCTGATAAGAAGTTATGAAAAAATGAATTTATTTGACTCTACAAATATTTTATCCTTGTCTTTTTTGAAAAAAACTAACGGAATGACAGTAATAGAAATGTCAGCAATTTCTGAAAATAAGCTTCTTCATCAAAATAGGTTTGAAAAGTCTAAACCTTATTCACATACCCAAGTCGATCATAAGCATTTTCTGGTTCGAAATCCTGTACAGCACGCAAACGTTGTGTATGATATTCGATTGGAAGCTAAAATTAGTGAAACACACATACTTTTAGTATATCAAAAATTAGAATATGAAACAAGATAGTAAAGTTAGTAATCAACCTCAGATAATAATGTTACTATTTGAAAACAAAACTGCGCATAAACATTTAAAACGGTTTACCAATAAGCAGTGTATGTGGTCTACCGTTTATAAAGACGATTTAAACAATATGATCCGTACATTTAACACTTTGATAGGTAACCGAGTTGATTTTCCGCTTTTAGAGACCGTGTACTTCCTAGACTTCGATATAAACATTGTTTTTCGCCTCTCACTGTTTATAGCTAGTAGGAACTTAGTTAATAACTGACTAAGGATGGAAATACTCGACTTTTAGCACGTAAATAGTGAACGTAAAACCCACCCCACCTGTCAAGATTCAAGAAGTCATACAATGTCACCATCCCTATATAATGGATGGCATATAGTCTGATACAAGAATATTTACATTGCTGTTAAGCTACGATGCTACGAAAGTTTGTTATTAATATAAAAGTAGATGAGACTCCATGGACACATTAGTTTTTGGTATTTTTTTATAAGTTAAAAGTTACAAACTTGATGGTAGAGAAGAGGGAACTATTAACATTGGACTTGCATGAGAGGAATACTACTGAACTGTGGGAAATATCCTCATAAAAATTTTAACCTGTAAATTAATGATAACATAGGGGTTACACCAAAACTGATTTCTGAAAAAGCTCAAACACCCACTCAAAAAATAACAGTCTAAACGACAATGATACTGCTTGTTGGCTTGTCTATTATGTGTAAATCATAACCTAGAGCATGAACCTGTAAAAGGTTGCGTTGAATTATTATCACTACTACTAGTAACACTGATACTACCCAACTGTTCATGTAGAAGGAGATGGGGTGGGTTTGGATACGCGAGCCATAACTTGAAATAGAAGTACTGAAGCTACCACTCTACTGCACGAAGAAGGAAAAATATTATTAAAGTGAAGACGAATTGTTGTATCTGAAGTATAGCAACCTCAAGTTACTTATCAATAGATCCTAAGTAATGAACCTCAAAAAAGTATCATTTTCTCGAATACACCTTTTCTAAATATCTCTCCACTTTCAGTGATTCTCCCTGAAATAAGTGTGACGATAAATTATTGAAATTTATAGATGCTACACCAACCTCGCCTGGTTAACTAGTTCACTAGTTATTAACCGGTCCCCAGCATGGATAAAGAGGGAAAGATGGACACACACCTAGCAATCCTATTCCGCAAAAAACCATCCAATCACTTAAGAAACTTAAAAGCACAAAGAAAACACAAAAAATAAAAATAAACTTATTCCTTTCTGGAATCGGAGAGACGAAATGACGCTAGTTGCTGAAAGCATTCGAGAAACAAATTAGCCAGTGTGTATTCTCTCTCTCTCTCTCACTCTCTCTCGATGAAAGCTAAAGTAAGGATGGGGAAATGGAATACCCACACCATGTTTGAAGCTGGCTAGCAAGGCTGCACAGATTGCCAAAGAGATGAGGAGGAACGGGATAGAAGTGCTAGACTGGGAATCTATGAGGAATCAGCAGATGGAATGGAAGTGGACTCTCCAAACTGTCGACTGAAGAGGAGTCAATAATCTACTCCAATACTGTCACCCAGACGACACGACAACCACGAGCACAGTACACTGAGTTTTCGAGTGGCTACCGTGATGTCCCCCTGCCGACAGCATCGAAGGCTCTCTCTCATGCAGTGGGAACCAGTCTCCTCCTACTCCTCCTCCTGCTGCATCAGTATCATGACAGCAAGATTCCACTCAAGTGGAAGGAGAGTCACAATCCTACTACTAGGCTACACTAAGCCATGCACCTGCAAATAATGCAGTTGGAGAGAAGAAGGAGGAATTCTACAGACAACTGCAATCACTACTGGACAAGACTCAACCCCAGTTGGAGACATCAAAATGCATTCTAATGACTGGGGTGAAATGAATGCCAGCCAAACTGGGAGTGGACAACACAGGAAGAGAATTGATCATGGGTCGAGAAGCACTCGGTGAAATGGTGAATGAGAATGCAGAACCGTTTGAAGACTTCTGCGCATTCAACGATTTGGTGATTCGAGGCGAGGCAGTGTATACAGACACACACAAGGATATTCACAAAGCGAGAGACAGGGATTCGATTTCACCAGACACCAGGAAACACTATACTAAAAATCAGATCCACTTCATGTCAATGTGAAGAGAGTGGAGATGGAGACTCAGTCTACTGGATGCAAGATAAGATGAAGGAGAGGAATAGATTTGCGTTCACACCACTCACATTCTAGTGCAATGAACATACCATCAAAATCAAGTTGAAAGTCTTCATGGAAGCTGGTGATGATTGACCACAGTTCAAGTTCAACGTCCACCCAGAAGAGAAACTGAACTGAAGAACGAAACTACAAAGGACATCTTCACGTCAGCCAGTCATCAGGAAAACATGGGAGACACTACGCAAGATTGGAGGAGGAACCTGAGTGGAAGAACACTGGAACTCTTTGAAAGGTACGTGGAAGGAAACGTGCATAACCGTGTTAGGAAGGAAGAAGGAGTATGACAAGTCAAGGTGTGGATGTCGACGGACACATGGAGGCTGATAGGGGAGGGGAGGAAGATGGTGATGGTGAAGCAGAATGTGGACCATTGCAGTGCAGTGAAGAGCAGTGCAATGTAGTGAAGGGATGAACAGCGAAAAGAGGAACTGAGTACAACGCATAAAACGCTGGACAAAGAATTGAAGAAGAGTGCGCACAAAGATAAAAGATACTTCTACGACACACTGGCAAGTGAAGCAGAACAGGCTGCTGGTAGGAGAGACAGAGACCTGACAACATTATTTGTATCAAATAACTAGGTTACTGTCTATCTGGGAAGGGATCAACACAGATGAGACCAATGAAAGATAGTGAAGGAAACTTAGTTAGCAAAGAGAAGAAACAAAGGAAACAGTGGGCTGACCACTCCAAAAAAGCTCTTAAAAGCGACCACCACTACCTGCAACTCATTCAGAAATACCACCAGCAGCCCAGCCACATAACCACCAGGGAGCACAAGCCCTCCGACAAAAACTGAATTCCTGAGCTCCACAAAAATGCTGAAAACCGAGAAAGCAGCAGGACCAGGTGGAATTATTCCAGAAGCACTGAAAACAGACACAGAGACAACAGTGGGCATGCTCACACCATATCACTATTGCAGAAGTTTTGGCAGGAAGCAAAGGTACCTGCCGGGTGGAATAAGGGCTACCTTGTCAAACTTCCAAACAAGGGAGACCTAGGTATTTGCAATAACTGGAGCGGAACCATGCTCCTGTCCCTGTCCACCCCAAGCAAGCAAAGTATTAAGCCGCATCATCCTGGACAGACTAAAGGATGTGCTGGATTCAAAATAACAACCGAACAGGCTGGCTGGCTGGCTTCAGGAAGAATAAATGATGTGCAGATCAGATTGCAACGCTGGGCTACACATCATCACAGAATAGAGTATAGAATGGCAGTCAACTGCACCTGTACCTCAACTTCATCTACTTTGGAAAGGCCTTTGATAGCGTCAACCGAGAGGTAATTTGGCAGACAGATACTTCAACACCACGATTTCAGTGCTACAAACCTTCATTAGGCTCATTCAACAGCGATATGAAGATGCTTCATCCCGAGTGATTCACAATGGAAAGCTCAGCGACGCCTTTAGAGTGAGGACAGGGGTAAGACAAGGCTGCCTACTGTCTCCGATGATCTGCCTGATTGTGTTCGACTGGACTGGATGATGCAAGAAACTGTGGGATGATGGGCATATACACTAACTGGACAGATGAAAAGACCCTGGAAGAAGATTTGCATTTCGCCGCCGATGATGATTTATGTCTAATGTCTTGTCACACAAACTCGGAGATCTACAGGTGAATACTAACAAGTTGACAGAAGAGGTGAGGTGAGTCAGCGAAGATGGGACTTCCTTCAGGTGAGTGTAGAGAAGACAGGAGTGATGAAGATGCCTAACCAACAACAGCAACATCAACAAAAACAACAAGCACCGATCATCATTAAAGAGAGAAACCTAAAGGATAGTAGTCTTTTTCACCTACCTAGGCAATGCAGCATCGTTTCAACTGCAGGCAGCGGTGACACAAATGAGGACGTCGAAGCAGCCAGGATCGGAAAGACATCAAGACAGGTCTTCATTAAAGTGAAATCAGTGTGGAGATCTGCTGCACTGCATTGGACTCAGCATAAAGTGTGAACAAGATCCGGATTTTCAACACTAATGTCAGTCAAGTCAGTGCCTCTGTGGGATGGTTCAGAAACTTGACGTGTTAAGAAAAGCATTTCCAACAAACTTTAGACAATCATCAACAGCTACCTAGGCTCGATAATGACACTGGAGATCAGATGGATTGGCAAGAAGAATAAGCAACAAGGGACTAACTCTGGTCTGGCAACGAAACAACGAAGAACCCATCACCCAACAAATATGCTGAAGAAGAAAGTGGAGATGGATTGGATTGGACATAGACTGAGGAGGCTGTTTGAGGACATCATGCGCCCTGCCCTCAAGTGGAAGTGAAATGGGAAACGACGAGTTGGTTGTCTGACGGTAAACAGAGAGGAGACAATGTGAGGAAGAAATGAAAGCTTATGGGAAGTTGTGGAGCCAAGTTCAAGAGACTGCAGTGAAGAGAGTGAAATAGAGACGTGCTAGTGAAGCCGTATGTTCCACTAGGAATCCAAGGGACTAATAATGATAATGATAATAATAATAATAATAATAATAATAATAATAATAATAATAGATGCTACACCATGTTTCGCAGAACTTAAATCAAACTTTCACGAGACTAAGCATGGGAATGTATCTAACCGACCATGTATCAGGTAGCGAAGTGTCATTCCCGGCGGTTCGGCAGAAATAATATGGCTTTAGACAGTGCTCAAAATTAATGATTTGGTTGCTTTTGCTAACATCCGTTATAGCGATTGTTAAAACTACAGTCAAATATTGAGTTATACTACCCAAGAGATTGTATCAAACACTGATAAAAACCTGCTCAACTAGAAACCTGTAGCTCTTTAAAATCCGCATGCCTCCAAAAAACCTCAGAGAAGTAATGAAAGACAGTAATGAGGAAATGCAGTAGCAAAGGGTTATCAAAAAGGCTCATAAGAGTAGATGTGAAGACTATAATAAAATAGGTCACAGACATCTTCAACTGCATTCAGTAGTAATACTATATACTATCATCTACACACTTTAAATAGACTATCTAACTGTATCATATTGTTATGGAACTTCTAGAAAATGCGAACGAATACATGCGAAAATTGGTAAACGGATAAGGGCAGCAACTTACGCTGATGGGTGGAATGGGTTGCTTTAGACGTTCTCCCGTCATGATGTCACGAGTGTAATACCTCGACAAACATCCATCTAGACTATCAAAGAATCTCCCACCAAGTTGAAAACAATTGAAACGGGGAATAAGTCTAAAAAACCTAGATTTAGTACACCAAATTACCTAAAATGAAAACAAACAAGGGCTGAAGACAGGTACGAAAGGACGTAGATGTTCTCCCATGTATCATTAGCATGAGTTGTACGGCTTAGCCGCAAAAGATAACTATTTGGTATGCCAAAAGTTTGTAGACGTTTTTCTGCCTCGGCGCGACCGATATAGCCGTGATAATACCTTCAAAAAGAATAACATAATGCAATCGGAAAATCTGCATCAGCATATGGGGTGTGAAGCATGAATAGTGGGGGAACAAAATATCAATAAGTGAACAGTCGACTTACCCAATGAACATGAGAATTACTGATTGCAACACTACCAATGGTTGTAATAAATTATTTTGTACTGTGTTTACAGGGAGAAATCTACGAAGTATAATAATATTAATGATAATTACCAGTATAAATGCGTTACAAACGTGCTCAAAACGTGTGGGTTCACTTTTACACTTATTGACGTTTCTTGAACTACTGATGAACCCTTTATGACCAATGTAATCTAAAATGCTAACAAGATTTATACTTGGTCTTCTGAGGCCGATCTAATTAGGAACCGCTAGTCTTTTCAACGTGGATAGCAACTCAACACTAACGGTGGTCATTTGTTAACAAAACGATAAGAACGTTAAAGAAACCAGCTCGTTGTGTTTTAGAATAAGCAACGAAAAATTCCACAGTAGTAACTTATATAGCTTGTATACCAGACTGAAACATTGTGGGTGATTAACGATATTACTCAGTCGCCTAGAAAAAAGTCTGACTTTTGGCTCAGTGGTCTATGCAGATGACTTTAGCTAGTGGGTCATGGGTTAAAACGGCTAACCTTTCGAAAAAGTTTTGATCGATGAGATAATATCATCAACCCCATATAATAGATGCGGCTCATTACCACATGCCTGGTGAGTTACCTTTAATTTTTTTCAGATACATGTTTACATTAAGCTTAAACTGGCCATATGAATTCTGACATAAAAGGAGTAATGTTCACATAACAAGATTCAGGAGATTTCATCTTACTCTTTATTGTTTAACTAGGTGTTTCATGAGGACAGAAGAAACGACAACTATGCAGTTTAACATTTAAACTTAATAGCTTAGATTCTTAAAAGGACTTATCAGTTAGCTATTAGTCCTTAAAAACACGCTACAATGTAACTCAACAATCGTGTGCAGGTTTGTGTATTAGGCATCTAGTATGATGTGTAGAGATTAGTAAAATTACTGTTTTCTAGGCTAAAGATGAAGTGAGTTTCGGTCTGTGATTTAAGAAAATCAGTCAACTACTTACACTACGGAGCCACAACTCCAATAAGTACTACATATGATTGATGTGACAGACAGATAACGTCAGCATGGGCCCCGGCATTGCTGTGTAACCGTCCAGGTTGAAGCGTTTAATATCAATATATCAAATGAGAATGTACCAAGATGAAAGACTAATAAATAGAGGAGTGAAAAGTGGTCGAAAATAACAAAAAAAGAGCAAGGAGCGAGGAAATACTGAAATCAGTATGACGATTAAGATACTGCGTGAATACATCTGCGCCACTGACAGATTCTGAACCATGTCACCCTAACCGAGTCTACATTTCCCTACACGGTTCAGATCAACAGTCAGGTTTCAGGGGCAGATACCATGTATTAGTCTATCCATCACTACACTTGCTAGCCCGAATATACTTTACCTAACATTGTGCAACGAGGCAGACAGTGATTAAGCCTGCGTAAAATAAGTCCTAACCACCTGAGTTGATGAATTAAATGTCCTCTTCTCCTTAAAATTCTACACCTGACTTTAAGTTACTAGCCTGGTGACGCCGCGCACAACACATGTCCTACGTCACGAAGGCAACGGTGATCGAACACTCAAAGGCTCTTTAGGGACGCCACAGATGGAATAATCGAGCCCTTTGTATCTATACTATTTCATCCATTACTGACCAACCAAAGCTAATCATATTTCCCAGGCAATTGAGGTGGTCAACACGCTCTACCATTTCACTCCCTACTAATAAATAAGTACCGCTTAAGATCAGTCTTGGATCAACAATTCCCAACAGGATGGCATCCTCAGATTTCCATTCAAGGTTTACAGAAAACTCCGCATCTTGTCAGATTCGTCGCCTAACAGGACTATGACATCTGCGTACTCTGAACCTACTACTAAGCAGTCTCCTTTGACAAGATCAACCCTTGTAGTTAGACGAGACCTCCAAAAACACCTGTGTGACAAATATAGATAGAGAGAGTGAACATTCTTGACAGACTACTCAACGTAAAGAACTCATCTGATGCCTAACTACAGGCTTAAACACGCCCACGGGTATTTAAATGAAGAGCCTTTAGCAGAGTGTGGTAACCTGGTGACCCTTTTAGTGAGACACTGCTACAAGGCTTCTGGATCGACAGAGTTAAGCGCCGCCTTCGGGTTTAGAAATATAGCCATTGTCAGGCATCGGTGAGTGTATCTGTGCCCTAATACTTGGTGGAAGGCAAATATCTGGTTGATACAGCGACGAGTAGGTTTGAGACCTGCCTGATTTATTTAGTTTTTCTCTTCCCAAGCTCCACTTAGACGTCTAATAATTACAACAGAACCTAGAATCTTAGACTGTTCGTCAGGATGAATCCCCTGTGGCCATCACAAGAGGGTTTCTCACGTTTCTTGTAGATGAACAATAAGCGAGTAAGACCAGTCAGAGGGGATCGAAGCTGATCCCCATACACTCGTTTAAACTTCAGATAACCTCACAAATAATCCACGATCGCCGTCTTTGAGTATCTGTGGTACTAACCTGACAGGGTTTCCAGCCCTTCAGCGCTTCAGGTTTCTTATAGCTTTCTCAACACTGGTAAGAATTAAAGGCCTTATCTCAATGTTTCATTGAGGATCCAACAGCTTAGCTGCGAACAGAATAGTAGCTCGAAGTCAAATGAACTCTTCTTCAGTGTTTTACTCATCGTTCCAATCGTCTCCCGTGCGAGTAAATCATGGACCGATCCTTCTCCGTTAGTGTGTAAAAGAACAAAAAGATTCCTTGAGTAGTTCTAGTCATACACAACCTAATAACAATAACTGGGATGAAGTACATCCAACTTAATGACACAATTCAAACCACATATAGTACAGCCTAAAGAACATGGTGGATACCAAGTTTCAGTTGTTCCCCTCAGGATCTTATGGTTACTAAAATGTAACATGGAATAAAGGAAGAGATTCATTTCAACCGCGTATAGTAACCGATTCCACTAGTGTTTGAGAAGAAATTAGTATGAAGATACAAACCAATGAGTAACTATAAAAAGAAACGAAAAGTGGGAAATTATTATTCATGAGTAAGGTAATGTAATGGGTGCTTTTAGCAGCCGTGGTAAAAAGGCTAGTAACGCTGCTCATATTTTGCTGTAGACGCTCAGCATTCCGATGGGTTCTAACTCTATTTCATCTTATGAGACTCAGACAACCAGGTACTGTCAGATGCGATTAACAGAGTAGTATGAAATCATCTATGTATCTGCTGGTTTACTATGACTATACACGGAATGCCTTGAATATCGACGAAAACGCTTAGTGGGCTGAATGTAGTGCGTCTTGACGCTATTATATAGAATCCAAATTCTGACTAGTAACTGAATACCTTCTGCAACTTTAATAACAATTAGAAAAGCGCTGATATCATGTTTTGAAAATTAGGACGATTGATGTAATAAATGCGGGATATCAAATTACTTCTGGAGTAGTGATTATAGGATAGCACATAAAAGGAAGCAATAAGGCCTTGAAAAATCACCATTGTCAACATATCTAGTAGTTGATATATATAACAAGCTAAAAAGTATTCAGAAATGTGATTAACCTGCCTGATACTCCTGTAGGTATCATGAACTTGAGATATTAAGAAAGACAGTGTCTCATGTAGCATCTACCGAGCTCAACTCAGCGATGGACACAGACAGACCACATTGATATCAGACATCGCTGGAAAGGATTGGTGGAAGACTGCCGCTCCTTCTGGAGCACGTGTTTGGATAGCGACCACGCGCTGGTCCGAGCGTGTATATGCCTGCGTCTCAATGGACGTAGAAAAAATTTGGCAACAAAACCACTACGAGTGCAGTTGGACAACGAAAACATCAAAGCCGCTTTATGGAAAAATTGGCTAGGCAGTTATCGGAACAGAACACCATCACTCACTCAGAAGCTGTAAAAGCAGAGATGAAGACCGTAGCCAACTCTGAAAGAGTGGCAAAAAAGAGCCAGTGGATATCAGCAGCTTCTTCTGAACTAATGGATGCACGTAAACGCATCCCTGGCTGCAGGCTCTGAGTACAATGAAGAGTGAACGCAACTTAAACGTAGATTGGGGGAAAGTCTACACAACGACTGTGAACACTGGAGTTTAGCGAAGGCTAAAGAGATGGAAAAGGCAGCGGTGATTGGTAACGGTAGACAGTTATTTGGACTTATTAAGGAAACTGGGCGAAATGTAAACAATAGTTAGTAAGACTATAACGGAGAAGGACAGGTCTGTGATTCACTCGCAGTGGGGACGACTGGAATGATGGGCAGAACACTTCGAGGAACAGTTTAACTGGTCTCCGGCCACCACTGCGTTGCCCGCTTTCCAGTCGGATCCTGAATGGAACATTGAGATAGGCCCCCCAACGATTGCGGAAGTCAAGAAAGTTGTAAACAACCAGGAAGGGCAGCAGGACCAGACAGACTAACTCCCGAGGTATACAGGAATGGTGGTAGAGTGTTCTTAGGCTACTAGAAGTGTTAGCTAGTATATGGGAATCAAATACGATCCCCTCTGACTGGTCTAAATCACTGATTATTCCAGTATTTTAGAAAGGCAAGAAGTCCTCTTGCGATAATCACAGAGGAATCAGCCTGACGAACATAGTGTCTAAAATTCTAGGTTCTATAATTCTTCGACGCCTGAGTGAAGCCCGGGAACAGCCAGCCTGAGAAAACTAGGAAGGCAGGATTTAGACCCGACCGTGGGTGTATCGACCAAATATTCACACTGCGACAGGTTCCGGAACACAGGCACGCTTAGCGACACCCAACACTAGCTGTATCTCTCGACCTGAAGGTGGGATTCGACTCCGTGAATCAAGAAGTCTTATGGCAATGTCTCTCAGTGAAAGCCATGCCGAGTAAGTACATCACTTTATTGAAGGCTCTTTACTCGAACACTTGCGGCGGTGTTAGAGCCTATGGTGAGATGTTAGGTGAGCTGTACTCATCGAGTGGTATCCGTCAAGGGTGCCCACTGTCTCCATTCTTATCACAGATATTCTTGTGGTCTCCCTCTCGTAACCTGACTATACAGAGGTTGACCTGATGGTCGGAGAATTTTCGTTAGACTTAGAATACGCAGATGACACTGTCTTGTTAGGTGAAGACGCTGACAAGATGCAGAGTCTTCTGGACACTGAATGGTGATTTGAGAATGTTTAGGATGTGTTTATCACCACTCAGATGCAAATTGTTGCTCCGGGACCGGTCTTCAACGGTGCCACAGATAACAATAGAGAGTGTAGTGGTTAACTGTGTCGACTACTTCACTTACCTGGGAAGTGGGATAAGCCCTAGTGGCTCAGTGGCCGATGAAGTCTCTGCACGGATACAAAAGGCTCGGCTGGCTTTCGCCAACTTACGCCACCTATGGTGCCACCATGAAATCCGATCGTCTATTAAGAGTAGCGTGTACTGCACAGCAGTTTGGTTTGTTCTACGGTATGGCTGTGAACCATGGCCAGCGAAGGTGGAAGATATGAGAAGGTATCAGGTGTTTGACCACCTTAGTAGTATAGGCCATATTTTGTGGTGTCACCACGTGATTAACGCAGAAGTCAGGCGTAGACTTTAAGGGAGAAGAGGTAATTCAGTTGATACGGCCGTAAACTTTCACAAACTTAGATGGTTGGGAACACCGGTGGCAACGGTCCGTAAGCTATTCTGATGTACGACAGCGTCTTTGGGTATGATGGAGATTATCATTCAATAAGTGAAGCCATCCAAAAACACCGATTTCGATGGCTTGGACATGTGTTGCACATGTCTATACCATTCATTGTTTGCTAGCACTATGACTCAATGAAAGAAGTGAAGGGGGTGGTAGATGTATGACGTGGCACCGTGGAATGAAGGATGGTGATGTCGAATTACCATCTGTTGATGCATCACAACTCCCTGAGTGGGGTCTGAGAGACCAAATAATTCAGTTGCTTGAGACGTTACCAGACATGGTTCGAAATCAAACCCACTGGCAGTCATGCTGAAGTATCCTTGTCTTTTCCTGCTGGAAAGTAACGAATATCTTATTTTAAATGTATTTTAGTGGACTGTCTTCCTACTAACTTTAATGTTATAGTGTTTTGCTTGCCACCCACACCCCTTCTCCTCATTTCTTTATGTTATATCATTTTGTGTAGTGCATTTCCTGGCGCCCTCGCTGGGCTATGCTCGTATTCTATTGGTAGTAATGACGACAATAATAATATCAATAGTAATAATAACAACAATGTGTATTGTAGTGAAGCAACAATGGTAGAAAAATGCAGCATATTTTCTATTTTTACGCTTTCCCTTCATTGATTCTGGTGTCAACTTTTCCAATCCCTGTAGCCACACAATCTTTCCCCTCTAACCTCACGATAGCCATTTTCCTCTTTCACTCTACTTTTCACAATGAAAGCATGTAACTTTCTCGTCATTGCATGCGTCTCCTTTATGGATGTTGATGACAATTACAAAACCAACAAAGATGTATCTTCCCTGCCAATTGTTGCACTCAGCAGCGTGATCCTTAAGTATAAAACTGAGATAACGAGCGGTATATAAGATGCTTAAACAACAAATACTGAGCATTTTATGCCAATGAAAACGTTAAGTTTGACGTCTTTACTGATAAGGAAAATCTGACAACTTGAGTCGATCAGTCGAAAAATGGACCAATTAGGGCATAAGAAACGTTGCAAACTGTAAAATTTTTGTTCTTACTGTTCCAGTGATGGTAAGTTCTGAAGAACACAAATATCCTCCGTTGTTGACTCCGGCATACAGTACGGATACCTTTTCCCAGGAATGACCTTCGGAACACATTGCCCGCGCCCAAGTTTAACTCCTATTCACATGGTCAAATGGTTATTGTCGAAGTAGAACCCTTAGCTTCTAGAATCTGTGAGCCATTAATTCCTGCGGCTTGTAATCCATGAACAATTAGAGAGAGAGTAAAATTTGGCGGTTGAAGTCTGAAAATTCAAATGGTTCTCAGCAGGTCTGCGCACATCTCAGGTTCAAGTGCTTGTTGACGGAATAGAAGAAGCTTTCACTTAACTGGCTTCCGCGTCTACAATCCATGAATCACTACTACTCGCGGTTACTAACCCGTGTACAAGTAAAGTAAGAGTAAAATGTGGTGGTTAAAATGGGAAAATTCAATGTATGAATCTCCCCCGTTGCATTACTGATCTCACTTTTTCCATGAGCCCTAGTTCCTCAGTTGGGTCGAATAACCTTACTCCAATGCAGTCATTACTCTTCCTGAACGTGTGAACCTGAAAGTTAACCACTGGCAGGGTAAAATCCACTAAATCACTTTCGTGTGCTCCAGTTTAAGAGAGCTACCGAATGCCCCTCGCATTTGATTGTCAGGTTTTACATCGGCGGATGGCTTCCTGCAAATAAGCCCCAGACAGCCCTTCGTAGTCTTGAAAACTTTGTGGATCACCAGATAGACCTGTTATTGCGTTCCAATTCTTGGATGTTGATTAACTGAGCTGTTAGAAACTAACCAACGTAAAGTGCCGCCACTCTTACCGTTCCTCCTCTCGTTGCGAGGCAGCATGGTGTTGGCAACTGCCTGTTCTTGTTGTGACATGTCAGGAGAGGCTCACATGTCAGTGCCAACCATAAGATGAATTCATATGTCCTTATTTAGTTCCTGCAGTTCGTTGAGTTTATTCAGCAAACTTCGTGCATGCGTCTGGATGTAATTTATGCCATCTACTGTGAACCATCGCCTGGGACCTTCCTATTGTCCGGTCAGGAGGCTAAATCCTTAGATGTAAGAGCTAGGAATATACCTATGTGGTGCTTACCACTGCTGTCTCGCCTGCTCCTGTTCCGTTTTTCGCGTACAAAAGTCCTACAAAGGTACCACCAGCTCCAATTTTTTTCGATTCTGGCTACAGTCTCTCAGCCTGTGACCTGTCGGGTTGCACGTGTACTGGTGCTTTACCCTCGTTGGATGACCTGAGCTTTTCGTCCGCTGGCCAGTTTCCACACTCCGCAGCCTCCGTACCTAGGCGCTGCCTTCAAGTTTTCCGGCTTTTCACTCCTCTTTCCTCGGTTTATAATTGGCTTTTGTCTGTTATCCGTTAACATGATGATATCCTAAAGAACATGTTCAAGCTCATGCCCACTCAAGTGGCAACACCACTTGCGACCAGGCTTCATTCATTTAGCTTGCTCAGGTTGCATTAAGTATTCGCAAGCGTAATTAGACTATCCATTGCAGGTGCTGTAATACGTACCGGCCTTGACAAGTAAACTACAGCCCTGCTTCTCTGCCACTTTCTGTTTTGTGGCCATCGTCGTGTAGATATATAGTGACGGGGGAAAACCAGACACAAAATACTCCTGAAAACTTGAAAAGGGGTGAAACCTCACTATAAATAAATTCAACTGGACTTGGAACCGTGGTGAGACCTCGGTATCCTAATAAAAACAGAAACACGTGTAACCACAGAATAAACTCATCTAACACAAAGCCAAAAAATACTTCGACTGAAAACCAGGGGCCTCATCTCGTTGTTGCACAGGACAACTTAAATATTCAGCCGCAATAGGATTACATCTCCATCCCTATCAGTGCAGGTCACGCCTCGTTCTGCAGGTAAACAGCAGAATAGGAATTAGGCCAGATCTGACTTCGTCGAGGAGGCTGGAGTGCTCTTTGACCCTTAAAATTCTTGTCCTAGGGGCCAGTACTGGCATTCTTACGGCCTGTTCCAAGCACGCACACACCGCATTAATTTTGCCCTCTAAATGTCGTATGGTGCATTTTGAGCTTCAGATCTGAATTATATATTTGCCAAGGCTCTGAAAGACGTTTTGCCAGGACAGCAAGGTTCGAAAGCTTTTAGCAGTCGCTACTGTACAGTTAGACGGTGTTTTATATCGTGAATAACTATGACACCTAAATCCTAATGCCCAGTTACTTTAGATGGTTGTGTGCTGGTAACTAATTGATCACGTGGATTGTCGTGATGCTTTTTCTCCACCTCGTGGAGGGATCTGTGGGAGCAATCGGATTCCTCTTTAGGAGCGGCTTATCTTCATTGTTGTCAATAGGTTTTCAGAGTTCAGTATCGTCCTCGAATATAAGTCTGTTTTGCCGTTAGTTGTTGGATTCTCGCATGTATTTCCTAAGGTTCTGCCCCTTCTTCTTGGCTGCGCTCCTTCGGCTGGCGCATAAGGTTTTTTGGGGCATATTTACATAGCTGCGGAGACAACGACTGGCGGCTGGAAAGCACCACTTAGTAAATATTGGTCCCGTTGCTTCTACATGTACGGAGCAATGGAGAGACCAATGAATGTTTCTCGACCTTTGTTTTTATGTTCCCCATAAATTTCCCCAGAGTATGTAAAGTTAGTTGCAGCCTCAGTAGGGAGCAGGATAGAGGAAATGAGTGGGATAAAGGGCTAATGTTGGATAATAACGACACTAGTAATAAAGTGAGAGGAACTAATCAACCACTTAGATGTTAATGTCAAGAATCGCAGGCATGAGTAGGTGTATATTCACTTGCCTCTAAATAATGTTGTCGGTAAACCGTATTTGTCGGTGCGTTTGCTCAACGTCCGTTTCAAGGAACCAACTCAAAGCGCTTGTGGTTACTTCTGTTGACACGGCACTCCATAAGGTGAGTACTCTGAGTACAAAGAAGTTAGATCTGGACCTTGTTTTGCCTTCTGGTAAGACATACGAGGCGTGTCCACGCGAGGCTGTGGGTCAGGCACAGATAATCTGGTCCCTTTGGAAAATTTCCTTTTGTAGGCCATCAAACCCGAACAGCTATCTGGCCAGATGACAGCTTTAGACCCTATCTACATTTCAGTCCTGGGACGGGTCATCCATCTCCTTACAAGTTTGGCCAACACCCAACAGTCCATCGGGCTTACAAGAGCCATAGCAATCGAATGGCGAACCGAGACGGCTTCCACCTATCACATAAGTATGTCAACGTCAGGAAATGCACGAAAATAGCCACTGGCAGAAAGTGGAACACTTATTTCCACATGACCACACCTAAATATTCAACAAGACGTGGATAATTTCCTAGGGAGTGGAATGTGTTTCATGGGTCCCTCGAAACGCTAGTCCCGGCGGTCACCAGTCAAGGCAGCAGAAACGCCCGAAACTGTCATTGGGAGTTGCATTAAGGTCTCACTGCCCGAATTAAAATTTATGAATTTTTGAATAACCCTTAAGAAACGTGTCCTAGCTAAGTCCTGTGGGTGGTGTTGTCTAGACCACAGGCCGAGATGTCCGTGTGCACACAAAAGAAACATCTTGAGTTGACTCCTGAAAAGTTTGGGCTGCGCCAAGTAAAGGGAACAGCGTTCAAAACTGACCAGAGACGAAAATGGTTGATGGTAAATTCTTTCTAAACTTTTTAGTAGGCAAATTGTGTCGTCCATCTAAAATTAACATATCTTGGGTGAAGCCTTCTTCCATTATTTGATGTGGTTTGTCCAGAGTTTCTGCCAGTATCTTGCCTAAAAATTTGTTTCAGTTTGCGAACTCGCTTGTGTCCCATTAACTGTTACAGCTTGATTCACCTCAATGCCATTCATACCTTTGACTGAAGTGCCATTTGATATGCTGAACATATTATGTAGCTTTATTCTATTTGATTTTAAAGCTCTGAAAGGCTCGTCACTTTCACAATTCAACACGAAGGACCCGAAACGTGGCCTGGGAAGACATCTTTTGTTCCTTAGCTTCCCAGATAAGCGTCAGGTCCAGGAGCGTGTTCAAGAGACCTGACAGACGGCGCAGTAGTACTGTCGACAGGGTTGTCTTGTTTGACTGGGGCCCCTTGACCTACTTCATGACTGCATCTAAACCTTCCTCTCTTGTATTCCAGACCCATCTGAGTCACCACTTATATCAACTATTTGACACCACCTGTCATTCCATAATGGCTGGGTCCCTGTCCGCACACTTAATCCAATGAACTCCTTTTATAGCTCTACCAACCACGCGTGCTGGTTGGGGCCCAAGACGTTGGAATCTCGAGAATTCGGAACGTATTACACTAAGTGCGGGCTTGCTCCAACCCACCCTTGCCTGAGGACAGCTCCAAAAATTTGAACTTGTAAGTGTGGGCTTTCACCTGGTTTCTGACCCTAGAGGCGACTTCCTATGGGTTTACTGCAGGACACTGGTAGGCAACTCATGATATTTTGTCTGGAATCTGTAGATCATCACCCTCACGGTGTTGACGCAAAGTGGCACAGCTCCCTTAGTATGAATAAAGGTGGCGTTAGGCGTAAATATCTGTCACGCTTTCTCTGAAGTGATACTGGTAGATCGAAGAAATATCTCAACTCCACGAGGTGTTGTTTTGGTCCATAATGGTCGAAATGGAGTAGCTGTGCCTCGAAAATTTCGGCCTCCGCAGATGCTCCAGTTTTTTGGGCGTCTTTCAGTTCCGAAGTGTTGAAGTCAGATATTTACTCATGGTTCGGTTGTGTGGCTTATTTTGGCGCCATAGAACAATCCACGTTAATCAGCAGTATGTTGCGTGCAGCTTCATGCCGACAATCTTGACACCATTTGTAGTGTGGAGCGGCCAACATAATGCGACCTGAATACGCAGGTCTCCACAGAAAACTGCGGCGACATATATCACAAGTATCAGCAAGCAATCTTCAAGGTTTATATAACTTTGAAAATACCTCGTTTGGTCCTAGAAACTAAAAAGTAGTTGAATGATCGAAATCCATCAGGTGATGTTGCAACGATAATTGACAGAAGGCAAGTTCTGAA